AGGCATACTTGTAGTCACCGTCACCAGTTCTGACTGCAAGCCCAGCTCCAGCCTGCAGCTCAAAGGAGGCCCCAGCCCTCACCTTGCCTGTACCCCAGGTCTCTGCAATCCACCCTATTCCACCAACTTCCCACCCCCAGTATTGCCATGCTGAATCCCCCTGTCCTTAGCAGATAACCTCAGGTGCACTTCCAAGAAAGACCTCTGCGGTGGGCAGATAAGTGAAACTGTCCAAAAATAATGCATTTTTAGAGAAAAATCGGGCAGATTCATGGATTTCTAGCTAGGCTATTGACCCAATTAGCACATGGCCATTGAAGACTGTTGTTACCTACTGTGCTGAAAGATGCTTATGTTCTTCAGTTGATTTAATCACAGCTTCAGCTACTTCTTCACACTTGTCATCATTACCAAAGCAATCTCCTGTGGTCTGGTCTCATTACAGAAACTTTTCAGAACCTCTCTTATGATAGCAAGGAACCAACTTCTGAGTATTAGGTTAGACAAGATGGTCAGTCATCTATTCAAAAACTTAAAGCTGGCACCTGAGCCATCAATATCAGATCTTGTCCTGCCTGCTGGACTTCAGCAATACAAGTGAAAACATTGAGCTCCAATCGCTTCTCCATGGTGTGAGACGCATTGTCTCAGTGATGGCTCAGGGTTGGGAAGCTCTTTTGAAAGAGACAGGTCATGCTGCTGTAGGGGATGAGAAAATGCAGCGTGTGAGGTGAACAGCAACAAGGTGAAGAACATCAGGGTGGTGAGCCACTGGTTCAGGTTGCCCAGAGAAGACATAGGTGCCCTGTCCCTGGGGAAATTCCAGGTCAGGCTGGATGGGACTCTGGGCAGTCTGATCTGGTGGGTAGTAACCCTGCCCACAGCAGGAGGTTAGAACTGGGTGGGCTTTATGGTCCCTTCCAACCTAAGCCATTCTGTGATTTTAAGGCTATACTGTTTGGCACTAGAAGATAGCAACTAGACTACCTCTAACAGCAAAAGCAATTTCCCACCCTTCAAACATGGCATCTACTTTGCTTGCTGATGAGTAGTCCCAGCTGGCATTTTAACTATAACTGCTACTCAAACTGTACCTTTTATCGTAGTATTGCAGACAGACCACAGCTCTCCTCACCAAAGAGCTGATTTGGCTGCAAGGTGGTTTTCACTGCTGTAGGTCTGCACAGGGCTAACATGTAAACCAGCACAAGCTCTAAAATGCCCTGAATGTTCCCTCCTCCTGAACAGGACGTGTTTGGAACCCCAGAGGACTAACTTCAAGGATACTAGAAGCTTAAGGCATCTTAATAGTGGCCAAGGCTAATCAACGTCTGCATTGCCGGGTGGCTAAACTCAACCTCTGCTTCTTGGAAGGCTCTATTTCAGCTGGCCTCCACTTCCCAGTTCCTTCTGTATGTCCTGTTCAAACCTTTAATCTGGATGCTAGAACAAGCAAGTACTTGCTCTGCCCATTTCCACCACTGTTCAGCCCTCCTCCACCCCTTCCTGGGAAGCTGATTTATAAGCCAAGATGCCTAGCTTTGTTCCCTTTCCGTATCTAACCTGTTTCTGAACTGTGGCATTTCTCCCATATTATCGCCAGCCTACAGCTGTCTCCATTTGTTGATACGTCTTGGGCTTTGCTGCAGGTCCCCACCCCTCCTTGTCTCAGCCAGTGCAGTTCCTGGGATTCGCTGACATGCACGAACGTGCCATATCCTATGCAAAAAGCAACTGCTTATGCATCTAGTCCAGATTATGTACTGTTCAGTTTAGTTCCTGCAGCTGATGTGCCATGCTGCAGTGTGTTTAACTGCTGCATTAAATAAATCTTTCCCTTAGAGAAACTGCCCATAAACCAGCATTTCTTTATCGTAAACTGTCTACACAGATTGCTGTATCACTATTCTACACTAATTTGGTGATTTGCAACTGAATGTTAAGTAAAGTGAGGGGTGCTCTTGCAATGCTTCTTCACTCAGCTCTGCCAGGTGGGCCAGTAAGGTCTGAATTCCCCTTCTTCTCTGCTTATCTGTACCTGCTAAGGACTCCGTCCCTTATGAGCACCGAGGATGCCATGCAGATAAATTCCACAGAAACATTTAAAGCCCAGCAAAGACATTTGGTTCAGGAAAGAATGGTTACTCTGCCTTCCAAGTGCAGATACCGTTTCCACTACCACAAACTTGAATACTGCTGTTAGAGGCAGAATCCAGAGAACTTCTGTCCTCGATTTAGGGGAGCTTTTTTCTGGCCCAGCCCCACAGAGCCACCAGTTGCCCAGACAATGAGTACGGCTGTCTGTGCCACGCTCATTTGTATAATGAGGGCTCTTTTTGCCTGGAGCTAAGAGGAAGGCGATGAGAGTTACTGGCAGGAATGTAATTCCCTGCTATTCCAGCTAGATTCGCCTTGAAAACGGTAATTTCTAAACCAGTGACTCACCGGTCATGCTACAGCGAGAACAAAGGAGCAGTTGCCATCATATATGGCTGCATTTCTCAATTTTCACTTGAAATTCAGTGTTTCTATTTCTTATACCTGAAGGACTTTTGTGTAAAGTTCAAACACACACAAATTACAGAGCCCTAGTGGATGTCTTCCCCGTGACTTCAGTTGAAGTTGGACAGGAACCCAAAACTACAGGAAATTTTCAAGTTAACAGAAGAAAATTACTTCAATTTAAGAGTTAGCATGGGGCTTCCAATAAAATATATAAAAAAGAAAAGTAATATTGAAAGAAGACTATAAGCCAGGTAAGTGGAAGATGGTTAAGCTGCAAAGTAAATGATACTGTTTTCATAACATATGGAAGCCCCTTGGTTATTTTACTTACCGAAATGAAAGTTATTGTTCACATCTTACGATAAGGAAAGACATAATAATAGTTATGAGAAAAATAAAGCACACTTACATGTCATTACTACCTCTGTCTGCTGACAGAGAGATTTCCTCTACGGAAGAGATTCTGCACCTGGACTCCAGCAGAAGGGCTAAGGGAAGCACAGCCAGGCCCCAGAGCTCCTCCTCAGTATTCCTGTGCTCAAAGTTATGATTAGCTTTGTTACTACCTCTTCTTAGGGCAGGTATATTCATAATGTGATTCAGTTTTGAAATTCCCTTTCCTGTATAGTTTTACTCAGGAAGAATAGCAGTTAACCAAACGCATATCTTAACTCTAATTCTGTAATTATGGAACAATTATTCCTGCAAGGAGTATGAGAAACAAGTATTTGTAAATTCTTCTTCAGGTAATGTAGAGGCATTCTCTTTTCCCTTCGTATGGACTAGCCATTGAGTTTTGTCAGGATAAAAAGCAGGTAACTATCCTGAAAACGTATACCTGAATCTTAACTCTACTGAAGAAGTTATTCCTTTTATTCATGGCTTTTATATTGCTTTGCAGATCAAGAAAACAAGTTGATCACTAAGTCAAGCCTGATGTTCCATCAGGTGGACAGTATAGAAGAAATGGTCCTGGGAGTGTTGGTTGGTGCTTGGCTAAACATGAGCCAGCAGTGTGCTCAGGTGGACAAGGCCAATAGCACTCTGGCTTGTATCAGAAATGGTGTTGCCAGCAGGAGCAGGGAAGCGATAACCCCTCTGTACTTAGTAGTGATGAGATCACACCTGGACTGCTGTGTTCAGTTTTGGGCCTCTCACTACAAGAAAGACACTGAGGCCCTGCAGCATGTCCAGAGAACAGCAATGAAGCTGGTGGGGGGTCTGGAGTACAAGCCTGATGAGGAGCAGCTAAGGGAACTGGGATTGCTTAGTCTGGAAGAAACTCAGGGGAGACCTTATGGCTCTCTACAACTCCCTGAAAGGAGGTTGTGGTGAGGTGGAGGTCAGCCTTTTCTCCCACATAACTAATGACAGGACTAGAGGGAATGGACTCAAGTTGTGCCAGGGAAAATTCAGGTTGGATTTTATGAAAAATTTATTTTCTGAAAGAGTAGTCAGGCACTGGAGCAGGCTGCCCAGGGAGGTGGTTGAGTAACTGTGCCTAGATGTGTTCAAAAAATGTTTAGATGTTACTTAGGGACATGGTTTAGTGCGGAAATACTGATGGTAGGTGGATGGGAGACTGGATGCTCTTGAAGCTCTTTTCCAGCCTTGGTACTTCTATGATGAGCATCACCCTTGGCACCAGTCATCACAGTCATTCTGCATGTAATGGATCACTTTCATTGAGACGACTGTAGATGGCCCCTCCAGTCTTCCTCTCCCACAATGAACAGGAAGATAATGCCATCAGCATTAAAAAAAAAAAAAAGAAATAAAAAATAAGGCTCATTTTTCTGTCAGATACCTTGGGAAAGTTTTGCAATTCAACCCAGTTACTAGCACTTAGAGGTGAGGGCTTACATAAACTACATACTGGAACTTGAAGGGCCTTACCTATCAATGCTGGGGGATGGGAAAATAGCTGGAAAGCCCTAAGAAGTCCACAGGGTTCCTTAGGATCCTCAGCTGAGAACTGCTTGCTTCATTACAACTGAGCAAAAGGTTACCCACTGCCAAACAACACTGGTGCACCTGTCAGAATATTCCAAATGTTTTCAATATACAGGATAAGTGGAATACTTAAAGGAACGCAAGAAAACAATTTAAACAATTTTAATTAATTTTGAGACTATTAGCACAAATGAACACTTCACTCTCAAAACATGCTGAATTGTGCAAGCTTGTGTTTCTGAACCCCTATACTTTGGGGTCTCCTAGCTCCAGCAGCAGTTTTGCAGATATAGTCATCAACACAGAGATCAAACTGTAGAACATACAACATCATTTTTAACCTGAGCATCTCTTGAGGGTCTTCACATAGATATGAAGACAGTTCATTCATCAGAGGAAGATGACAGACTTGTATTTAAACAAGGTCAAGAAATAATGTTTTTTTTTTAAATTTTAGATCGAGACAAGAAAAAAGTTTTTGTTAACTCTAGAAGATTTATGAAAAGATTCACAGGAACTAAAAACAAAAAGAGAAGACAATACAAGGTGAACAGACCATAACTTTATTGGAGATATACTCAGCTACAATTATTACAAAAAACTATTAAAGGTAATTGTGATCCATAAGGTGCAGATTGCAAATTTCTGCAGCAAGATTACAGTATGAATGAATTACATTTTATGTCCCTTAAAGACAGCTGCAGCATGTGATGGTAAATATTTTATTGTCCATCAAATTATATTTGTTATTCATTCTACTTGATTTTAACCATCTTTTCAGTCAAACTATTTACAATAAAAACGCCTGCAATTCCCAATTATTGTCCACAAACATTTTTCTCTCTAACTTGCTGCTGCAGTATATTCTGAGTGCATCTACAAAGCAATTAAAGTAGTCTGTGGTTGCCATTCAAATAAAAGAGGGAAAAAACCCAAGGAGTTTATTGGATAAAATTTATTTTTAAGAAATGTAGTTAGCTTTGATAAAAGTGAATTTTAACTGCTAGTGGAGTATACTACAATGACCTCTAGATATTTGCTAACATAATTCAGATTGAGTTACAGTTGATATTTAGATTACATTTCATGGTCACAAACTGTAGTGTTTTTAGTTTTAAACCTAGTAGGAAGGTAAAGAAATCAGCTTCTTGAAAATCAGAGCATTTGGAAAAGGATCAATGTCAGTAATTAAGTACCAAAAATCAAAATCCTTTTCACTTCACTCATATAAAAAAATACAGAGATTTTCAAAAGAATGTTTTTGCAGAGAATCCCACCTAAAGCATATAAACCCAGAATACTGTCAGACAGAAGCAAGTGTAGCATCACAGCAGATCTCAACACTATTTGTCACTTTCAGATTATGGATGCTGCTGTGACTGGGATACAAAGATTTCATTTTCTATACAGATAAATGCATGTAGCATAGTTATCTCATATGCAGTAACATAACCCCCCCCATTTTCCAGTTTATAGTTCTGTATTTACTTACAAGGAGAAGAATCCAAACTCTGCTATATATATATATATATCGTACATCATCCCTGGGCCAACACTGTATTTCTCCCCAGCACTGCAACCAGTCTGAATTCTTCCCTAAGTTCTGTACTCTGCAGTCACAACACATTCTATAATGAGACTAAAAATTAAGAGGCTTTTTCTGTACGGACTTTAGCAGCATCAAGCTGAACAAACACTCAGAAGTCGCTACTGGACACTCAATATTCAGACAGAGCAGAGATTTAGTTGAGGTTGACCAAATTCTAAGGACTGTCTTCTTGCAGAAACTACGCTATATGCATAATATGTTGGTTTGTTCAGAGATAATTACTGGAGTGTCAGAGGTCATTCTAATTTTAATTACTTCACATAACAGTAAAATGATGTAAAAAAAAAAACAATAGCTTTAAAATACAACCAAGAGTTGTCACACCCCTTTGTCGTATTTATCCACATACAGTAAAAATGCCACAGACATTGCAAATGACCTATTTAAGTTGTGCAAGTAAATGACACATTGCAGGCATATAATTATCTTTTTCAAATTCAGTAAATCAGAACAGCAGCAAGGCCAAACCACATTTTTCCTCTCTGTTAAGCATTTTTTCCTTGAAATGAGGTAAAGCATGGTACCAAGTGCAATGCTTATTTGTGCTACATGAACAGAACAGCGCAAAAAAAAAGCCATAAAAATAAAAACGCAGCATAGTTAGGAGGACTGTTTAAAGTACAGTATAACAGGACTTAGATAAAAAAAAACAAAACAAAACAAAAAAACAAGGTTCATGCCAACTAACCCCCACACTATTTTTAAGATGAGCCTGTGTGGCCGTGTGGTTGCTTTTGAAGATGGGTTGCAACAGTCTGCATACACTTGTGCTTACAGCATGTCAAGTGATCTCTATCCCAACCTTCAAATGATCAGATTTAGGTCTTTAATAGCATATACTGTCCAATATCAAAATCATATCAACTGAAGGGTAAAACACACAGATGTATAACATGGAAACTACTATGATTTTTCTATCTCAAAGGATATAAAATATTTCAATGAGGTCACACTGGAAAACATTACGGCATTTAAAACTCATTTAAAAACGCATCAGCAGCAGAAACTACTTTATAGTCAGCCACTACACATTTCAGATTTCCAATTCATAGGCTTTGTCTAGTAACAAAGTGATCATTAAACTGTTCTGAAATACAGAGCAAACTTGGTTCAGTTTGTTTGCAAAGACACTCTGTACCACATTACTGCTAACAATCACCTGAAACCCCTGAGAATCTATAACCTTGAAACAATCAGTAAGAAATCGTAAGCATTCAAAGACTAACCTTAATTCTTTTGCAACGCAGTTAAAACTACTTAACACTTCACAGATGGTCTGATCAATCTGATGATTGATGTCTGGTGAGAAATGCAGAATTGCCAACTTTCATGATCATGTATTTTCTCTATGAAAATTTACTCCTAGCCTAAAGGAAGAGCTATAACTTAAATTGGTAATCCATTTTCTTCTATAAAAAGGCTACCTCAAAGCAATTTACCTTTGAAAATTTAGACTTTTCCATCTCATTTACATTTTTTTTTATATATACACCAAGACTTGCGGGTCTTATAATTTCATGTTACATTTTCATTACTGAAGTAACAAAGAAATGCAAGAACTGTTTTGCAAGCTACTATTTTAATTCTCATTCTGCCTACTATAACAATGTTCTTTTCAAATATAAGAATAGTCCTTCTTGCAGAATTTAAAAAAAAAATGACTGAGATAGAAAATACATGAACTTTTGAAAACTGTATTTCAGAAAAGCTTAATGCCTACCCCTTGCCACTAAGGCTTTTTTCTTTTGTTGTTAAGAAAGCAAGAGCTGACAGCTTTTGTTTTGTTTTAGTGTGCATTTTGTGAGGAAAGGAATAGGGTTTAAAAGCAGGAAATACAGTATTTATCTGTAATTTAATACATAAGACACAGCATCAAGTTCAAACTATTGTGCTGGAAAATGTTAAAACACCTTGCTCTGCTTTCTCAAACTTCAAGCATAATTAACAGGGCAAAATTGCAGCAAACCTCTACTGATATTGGTGGGAATACGAGACCCACAGCTTTTTAAAAAGGTAAATTAAGAGGTATTATAGTTACAGTGCAAAAATTAAATTTTCAAGCATAATATATAAACATAGCACCAAAACAGAAAAAACAATGCATGCAAAAAAAGAAGAAAAAAAGAAAAGAAAAAAAGAACTGAGGTATTTAAGTGAAGAGTGCCTACATAAATCTAATTAAAGAAGTATAGGCAAAGCCTAAAAAATAAATGTATGATTTTCCCCCCTCCCCCAGTAGATCAAAACATCAATGAGCTAGTTTCTCTAAATTAAGGACCTAAATCACAGATGTATCAAAAGTACGGCAGTTATCTCAAACATCAACTTTCATGTTATTTAACAGCACAGCTTTGGTAGGTGAAATATGCATGCAACTCTGAAAAGTACAGTAAGAAATTTACGTGGAAATATTTCTAAGTGTAAAGGTGCTCTGTTTGTTAAATACGTAACCAATTGACTATAAAATCTGCAGCATATTTTAGGTGTGATATGTCTAAAGTTATTTTGTTAGAATGACAGCTTGCACTGTACAATTATTCATTACTGTTTCCAGTATTGGAACTATCTAGCTTGCAGGTTTGTGTAAAACTGGAATTTTAGCCAAAGACCATATTTTGTTTATGGTATAAAAAAATCTGTAGACTAACCACCTCCTCAGAATTGTTAAAAATAACCTAATTACATATATATGAATACAATTTCTATTATAATCCTGTAATAACTCACAGCTATAGTAATGAGTTGTACTGTAAATATAGAGCTGTATCATTGTAAAATGCATAATAAAATGACGGGAATGTAAAATAGTTTGTTCCAAAAAAGATCAGAAATTAAAGGTTATTAATGAGGGTTTATTTATTTTTAAGGCAAGAACCTTTTTTTTTTTTTCTTTTTTTTTTTTTTTAATGCGAGACTATGTGGCATAAGGAAATTGAAGTCTCATTCTACCAGTATGCCAGCCATTTCAATTAAAATCTGTCCCTAACAAATAAGTGCAATAATGATTGGGAATGCCATCTTAATGTAAAAAGATGACATGTAGGAGAAAAAAACAACAAACGAGAATACTGGCACACTTATTCTTTCTTATACCCAATCATCCAGTACAGTTTATCAACTGCTTTATGACTGGCACTAGTGCACAGATTGAAGAATTTCAAGATTACTATATATACATCTAGCAACTGCATTAGGCATAAGCTCCCTGGCCTTCTAACACTAAGCAAAGCTGTACTGACAATAAAAGTAAACCAAAAAAGACCTGACAACAATTATTCTGAACACTTGCTAAATGTCATCATTAAAGCACTCTTGTGATTAAACAAAGCAGAAGTGAGGAAAGAAGACAAGATTGTGTTTGCGCAAAAAACTATAACTACAATTAGTTCCAAAATTTTATACATGTTAAATGTTTTGTTATCTATTCTGTTATCAAACAAACTTTAAATTCTGTCTTCCAATTTGTTCCTCTCAACATCAACATTTTAAAAAATTTGCTTTATTTGTATGTGTTTTTTCCCCATTTTATTTATTTTAAGAGGAGTCTCAGCTGTTTGGGACCTGAGGTTGATTTGCTTTGAGGCTTCGTAGTGCTCTTCTTGCAGCTGCAGATTTGGCAATCCTGTAGCTTCTGCCAACACCTTTAAACTTTCCCTTTCCTACAACTTCCACAGTTACTCTGACCTTTCCATCGTAAGTTCTTTCTGCAGGACTGCAAAAATATACACAGTAATTACTTACTTACTGTCTAGTCACGTTAATGTGAAATACAAGATTGATATTCTTTTCTATAGCAGTAAAAGCAGTGAAGTTAAACAGAAATCACTACTTTTTTTCAGAAAATTATACAAAAACGAATACAAAAATAACCTTAACTTTTTGGAGCAAAAGGAATTAAAAATCACTCATGACTTTTAAAAAATCCTCTGTAGTTCATAAGTACATCTTAAGAACATTTTAGAATGGTGTGTTCCAAAGGAAGCGTTGTCTTACCTAAATTTGGCCGTCTCCGGCTCCATCTCAAGCAGCTCTCGCACTGGGGAACGGGGCACATTAGCAGAAAATTTTTCTATTAAAAAGTAAAAAAGAAAAATAAAAATCGATCTTTGTTCTCTTCAGAGCAGATGGCACTTTATTATTATTTTCTTTTTTTTCAGAAAGCTGACTATACCTATTAATGGCCTCATCATTGGATAGTACACTTGCCAAACCATTTCCAAAGACATTCCACTATCCATATAAATGGCACCAGCAAGGGACTCAAATATATCCCCCATGGCCTTTGGTACTTCAATGTCTTCCTCCTTTTCTTCATCTTCTTCAGATCTTCTGAGCTGTTGGCAATTAAAAAAAAAAAAAAGGTGGGGGGATAGAGAGAGGAAAAGGGAGGAGAAAAGAGAGACATTTGTTTCTTTTAAAATAAAACAATGATCTTCAGAAATGTACGTTCTCTTACATCCTATCCTGAGCTGCTTCCTTTATGCTTTTTTTCATTGACAGCTTTCTGCAGTGAAATTATTCTTTTATCCCCCAGTGAAACCAAGTTGCTGGATATATCATTTTTCAAATGGGAAAAAAAAAAAGTCCCCAAACACCATTGCTTAGAGGACTTAAAATGCTTTGTGCATTCCTCCTGTAATAATTCTGTAGCATTTCACCATGGGCCAGTTTTTGCCAATAAGAAACAGACTCAGTTCTATCAATCAATAGTCGAAAGCTACTCATAACAAAGGAAGACTTCATACATTAAAGACCTCCTAGAAGGAGACTTTAAAAATCTCTAAGTCAAGTCTGTGGATGAAAGTCAGATGCACCATTTCTTACTTCATTCACCCAGAAGACCATGCATAAAAAAAGCATTAGTAAAGTAAACCACTATTAACTGATAACCATCAACATTAGACTGAGCTAACAGGTACACTTAGGTATTTTTTAAACATAGCAGGCAGTGTTTTTTTGCTACTGCACTAATTTAAGTCCAAATTAAATTATCATTAAAACTAAACTTATGGTGTCTATCTTGCAGATCTTGAGTTAAGCCACTCCTTAATTACAAATATTTCAAATATATATAATTTGCATTCACTTTAGTGCAAGTAAAGTAATGTAAGACAAAGAAATGTTTTGGATTATTACTGTCCTAATGAGAAATATATATTTGTCTTTTCCTCAGCAGGCAGCCCCTATTTAGGGTGTAAGATGCAATTCAGATCTCTTAGCAGTCACTACAATCACTAGCTAGTCCCTTCTAAAACATTTCTCCCTAAAATAAATCAAACAATAAGTCAAACCTGATGCATACACCCTCCAACGTGGAATTATGATGATTAAAAAAAAATAATGAACTGTGTTCTGAAGAGTGTATTTCATTTCAAGTTCGAACCAAAACACTTTAGAATTATACAGTACTTAAATAACAGAAGGTGAGAGAAATTATGATCAATAAGGCAAGGAGCAACAGATGTTTCAGGAGTGAGAATTTAAAAAAGCAAAGCAGATGATGTGGAGACACACATGGAAACCAGTCTAGCTGGCATGGACTGCAGAAACAAAGACTCTGTGCATTAACTGTGATGAAATAAGAGTTTCAGTAATTCAGTGCCAGACCAAGATAGGGAGCAGGCATAGGGAGAGTGAAACAAGAATTTTATTTGAAACAGCTATCTCACAATTTGGTTGCAACTTGGATCAAAGTTTCTAGACCATCTTTTTACACACCAGCAAAAACTGAACAAAGCTAGAAATCACTGTTATGATTAGAATCTTGAGATTCTAATTTTTTACTCATATTGTGAAAAACATAGATAATAGTTTGGCTTTCTGATGAGAAACAATTATCTGAATTTCAATAAAAATTTTCTTATTCTTCTCTTAGTTTTCTCAGCCTTCCCATAAAACACATGGATTTCACTCTCTACCAGATGCAAGGGCTGTAAACACATAAGTAACTGAAGGCTTTTGATTCCTAAGCTTTAAATTGTCTATCAAAAAGAAGAAATTACTTAAGAAAAGAAGAAATTACTACTTAAGTCAAGGATAACATGTTTATTTAGAGCTAGAATATTCTCAGAATATTTTCTATGAAGTTAGTAATTGTTTTTCAGAAGACAAACTAATAGGAAAATCTATATATTATTTTTTTAAAAAGGATTACAAGAAAGTCTATCTCTTGCAGCACCCTGGTTAAAATTTCACCCAGCAGGCTCTTGTGCTCATACGTTTTCTGAGATGCTTATCAAATGAGACAGGTTTAGTCCATTCTTCAGGAAATGTTCGTTTACATTCACTTCAAGTATTTATATTTAATTCAAATATTTCATTTACATTCATTATATATCTCAGATATGATTAGTTTGCAGGTCTTCAGCTAAACTCTTTTTCAAGTCGTTTATTTAAATGATGCCTATGTTTCCTTGTCTGGCAGCTCTAAAGCTTCCAGGAGCATTTCAAACATTCTGGAGCAGAGTGCAATGACACATGCTCCAGCAAAAGTCATCCAGAAAAAAAAACAGTGAACATTTCTTACAGTGTGCTACATTAAATAATCCCAGTATTTTGCCAAGCTAGTACTGTTTTTGGTATCATGTGGATATCCTATCTTGAGTCAGCACTGTGTGACTTAATGCTTCTTTGTTACTGTCTACAATACAGTAGGCTTCCAATCAAAGAAGCAAACTAAGAACAACACAGGGAAAAAAAAACTACGAGCAACACAAAGGTGGAATATTGAGAGAAATCAACTGTCACTGAAAAAACTAGGCAAAACAGGTCTCTGTTTATTTTTTTGATGTTTTTACTCACTGTACACTTCCTGAATATTGTATTTTGCTCTACGTATTGCATGCTTTACTACTGAGAGCCACCTGCTTATTTGTGCTTAAGACTAAAACATCACAAAAATGTGCATCATAATAAGAAATCTAACATGCTACAAATCATGTTTAAAACATTTTGGTTTTTTTTTTTTTCTCTACCACCACTAACCTCTGAATCCATTCCTTGCATTTCATTCTTTTCCATTTGAAACTGCACAAAGTCATCAATAACATGAAACAGCTCAGGAGAGACAGCTTTGAAGTACTTGTGGTAGTCATACTTTACAGCTAGCGATGCAAAAATGGTATTATTGACTAGAGCAGATCGCAGGTCAGTAAGAACTCCTGGTGAGTGTTGCCGTGGGTCTTCATAAAGGTGCTTGGTTATGAGGTAGTCCAAAATTGCATCTCCCAGGAATTCTAAGCGCTGGTAACAATCTTAAAGCATTGGAAATAAAAGAAGGTACAACAACACAATTAAGTTTAACACACACATTCTTTCCAGGCCTTTCTGGAAAGGAGATTTGGTATACTGCCATGTAAATTCCACAAAGTAACCAATGTTCAAGGAAGAGCAAGCATGTTGTAAAACAGGCATCTTTGTCCTTAAAAAGATTGCTAATAAATTATAAAAATAACATTGAGCCAAATGTTAATTTGTCAGGCTAGCAAAACACTTGTATATAATCAATTAATGCTTATGTTCAAAGTCATCCTATTGTGCTGAGGAAGTATATAAATCTGAAAGGGATGACAACTAATGCTGCAAATATGAATAAAAAAGTAAACTCATTAAAAGCAGGATGACATATGATGAGGTTTTTCTTCTTCTTCTTTTTTTTTTTTTTAAATCTAACTTGCCATACATTTAGAATTCTTGAAATGCATTGAACTAAGATTCTCATTCAGAATGAATTCGTTTATACTGAGAAATGACATCAGCATATCTTTGTTGTTTGGATAACTGACAAGGCAGATGGGAAAGGAGAGCTATGGAGATCTATTTTTACAATATAAGTAAAACCAGCACCACCACAGAAACGATCTTGAAAAGCAGACAGGAACAGGTGGGAAGAGTAGGAAGTCAAAACTCCTACAAAAGTAACTTGACAGTGAAATGGCTAGTGGGAAGATTGACCCTGGTATCTAAGATACTAAGATCTCAATTAATGCCCCTTAAGAAAAATCCAAACACTTAGCTGTTACAGCAACTCTAAATTATCTTATATGGTAATGAAAAGGGAATTAAAAGTTTCTGCTACAAGCAAAGTAATTTCAACTACTTGCCATGCCTCAACATTTCTCCTTGATAGTATATAAAAAGGAATAATCTACATTTTATGTGCTTTGTGAAATTTCTATCAAAAGTAAGAATGTACATAGGTAATGCTACCCCAAACAGAAAAGCAAAGGAACATTTCAGTATTTCATCAGAACTATTTCTCAATGTACTAACTTTTCAAAATGACTTATTCCTTTAACGGAGGAAAGGATTTCTTATTTCTTGGACTAAGGAACAATTCACTATGGAGAAAAATTCAGACAAAGCAAAAGTAATTGAAGAATATTACAGATTTGATCTGCTGTTAGATAACATACAGGAAAAGTAAGCAATTGACCTGAAATTAATATTATTTGGATTTAGTAAACTACTTCAAACTTTTCCATTAAACATTTACTCAATAAAATATCTGAACTTAATTTAAGCCTTCAAATTCTCAACTTAAAACTGAAGTCTCTGTAAATGTTGTATAATCTACTTTTAGTATTAGATATACACTCAAAGAATAACATGTTTGGGATTAAATTGTGTGACAAATTGCTAAATATATTTGCAAAACATGATCAGCACTTTCAGATTTTCTGCAATTACGTGTGAATTTAGCACAGCTAAATGAAAACCTAACATTAGTCATGTGCATTAACCATAGAGTCTCAAAGATGCATCCTCATCAATTAAAAAACTATGAAAAATCATTAAGATATGGCTTCAACAAGTATCTCCCTTCTAAATCAGGGCAAGACACTGTTTTATAAGACTACTGACTTCTTAAAATAGTACATCAGATTTAAAAAAAAAAAAAAAAAAAAAGACTACATATGGGAATACAACAAAACACTTTTCTTTAAGACAACTTACCAGTAATGGTATTATAATGGTATGAGGCATGAGTAAATGCCTGAAGAAGATACGCCTTGTTCTTAAAACTGTAATTAATTTTCTTCTCAAAGTTTTCAAAACCAGAAATAAGGTGATTCAGGGTTTTTTCAGCATCTGGGTGATCAAACATACACCTTGGTGGGATCTTCAAACAACCATACTCCAGGTCTTTATAAAGAGAAGGCTCTGAATTAACTATACAAGCAGAAACAGAGTTTGGTGAAAGATTCTTCTGCTCACTGTTACAGTTCTCTCTGGTCGCACACAGAGTGCTTTCCCAATCAGTCTTTTTAATTACAGGGAGCACCTTCAGCCCCAGTGAACACAGGAAAAGCTGAGCAGCTCTTTCACCACAGCTGGTTAGATAGCAGCCCAACAGGGCTTCCACACAGTCTGCAATGCTTTTGTCAGCAATACACTGCTCTGTATGCAAATCATAGGAGATAGACTGTTTTCCTGCATCGACACCACAGTTTTCTTCTGATGGATTCCAGAAGCCAACTACAAAATCATCCTCTTCAACAGCCTTGCTAGGATCCAGATAACACATAGCATCCCAAGAACTATAGTCAAAATCATCAAAATCTGAAGAAAACGGAACGTTACCCAGGGATGACTTTTTGGGTGCCTTCCATTCATAATTTGAATCAGTGGTTGAAAAGTGAGAGAGAGAAATTTTCTTCACAAAAGCCCCCGATCCCATTAACATACTATCTATAAATTTGATATGCTCTTGATCATACTCCAAAAAATCATCTTCAAAGTCTGTTTCTTCCTTGGGCAATCTCCACATCAGGTCTTCATCCTCTTCATCATCATCATCATAGTCAAGTTTACCATTAGCCAACAAATTCTCCTTTGTCTATGAAAGAACACAAAAAAACCAACATGCTACTGAAGAGAAAAATATGATTTTATTCCAGAATTGTCATAAGAATTGGATATGAGTAGTATCTGCTAATAAGCCTGACTTTTCTAGTTAATAGCATACTGTCTAATCAGATACACAGTACAACCTCAATTAACACTTGCATTCCAAGTCTATAATAATTATCTTAGAATACACTACGAAAGTTTAAGTAATAAAGGTTTTGTACATTTTACATACAACACATGCTGTGTTGCATAGGAACACATGCTGCTATGTTTATTCAGTGCACATGAAACTGATTTACAAAAAAAAAACAACACTAAGTGCATATTTGTATGTTGAAAAACCTAAATAACCGCTTAGACTTTAACGCTTCAATAATTGTGTGAAGCAGCAAAATATATTTATTTATGCTCTCAAATACAGTTGAGTTGCAAATAACTTGTAGCCTACTCAGCAAACTAATTAAAAGTTTAGTCAATCAGTGTAGATGATTCTTATAAACCAAAAGAGGAGTCTAATACAGATTGGCAAGAATTAAATTCATGTTTGGGAGACTGTCCTGATTGCCTATGTTAGGGATTCAGTAAGTGATCTGCTTAGAAGCAGAAGAAAAACAAATTAATAACATGTAATTTTAACACACATGAAACCTCTCCGGCTTCTCAAATGTTTTGCATCACCAAGATTTCAATAAAGAATGTTTAAGAATGGAAAAACAGATAAATGACACAGTCACGCAACATAGATTTTTGTCTGGTACTGAACAGCGACCTATACATTAAATCAGGATGTAGGATAATGATATAATGCAAAAGGAACCAGTATTAATCCAATCCTTTAGATAGGTACATAGCTTTTTTTTTTTTTTTTTCAGACTATACCCATAACCTTGTCTAATTAAAATTTACATTTGTCACCATTTTTAATATATAATTACATATCCACAACAATAAAAGTAACAATGTCTCATATCTTTTCCCTCCTCACATGGAACAAATCGGTGTACGTTGAAATAAATTGTAAATTGAACACAGATACGTCCAAGCGATACAATGCTGTACAATTTGCTGTGGCCCCAGTCCAGGAAAGCACTCTAACATATTAACTAAATGCATAAGTAGCCGTCCTTATATCGAAAGGACTATTCACAGGCTCAACCCAGCATCACTGATGTCAATGGGAATTCTGCCACCAAATTTGATCGGAGCAAGATCAGATTCAAAGTGCTTTTCTGGATTGGGTCTTGAAAGCCAACACCATTTTGAATCAAGTGAAACAGCCTAAATCTGCCCTTAATCTATGTATGGTGTGCTGTAGTCTCAGCTACCTAATCTTGCAAATCTGTGAACCAGATGCTAAAATTGGGGACCCCTCTATTTGGGCCAAATGTACAAGTGGATGTGCAGCTGTAGGTTGCACCAGAAAGCCCTTGAAACCATCCACTGACCAACTGGATCACAACCTTCTTCCTCAACATGATGTGGCAGCCCTAGCCAGGTCTAGGAAAGGTGAAAGAAGAGAGAGGGAATGGCTATAGAAATTCATAGCCCAGCTAAATTTTACCAAAAAAATTCTGCTGTTGTAATTACCCATTTCACATGCCCAAAGCAGGGATTTCACTAACTTTAATTGTTCAGTGAAAATTGCAAAAGTTTATTAAGTATATATTCTAGAAACTTGTAGCAGCATAAGTTTTCTAACCACCTGGAACTGAGCTGATTTTTTTTCCTAGCAAACATCACCTGTCCCACCTGCCACTAAAATAAAAATCAGAAACATTCATTTTTTCTCATTTTTTCTAAGAGTTCAGTGACAGTCCTTGTAAATATTTAAAAATGATAAACTGCATTTTTGCTGCAATTTCATTCACAAGTTAAATAACTTGAAGAAACAGAACAGCTAAGCAACGTACCCTTACACTGCCTGCATATTGCCTCTCACATTACAAAAATAGAAAATGAAAAATTAAGTGATGAGTATACTCAGTAGCTAATTGAGTCAGGATATAATTCTGATAGTTATGTTTTTTCATTATTAAAAGCATTTCAAAAATAATAAAAAATTAACTCCAGAAGACAAAATTTTTTCTTAAACAACATAAAATTAACTTTGAATAAGTTATGGCCACAAGCTAAATAAAACTACATTTTTTTTTTTTCTTGCTGTGTGGAAATCAGCAATTTGATAAAATAACACACCATTCTGCTACAAGAAAGATCTTAATGCTAGACAACAAAGTAATACCAACATTTGACTAGGATGTTTCAACAATAATTTGTCATAATGAAATGAGATTTCTAGATCCATAGATAAACAATGAAATTTAAATCTAAGATAACAGAAAATCTAATTCACCACTTGGCATAAAAAACCTCTTTATTTCAGTCTGAAACTGATAATTTTACTTACAAATAAATAGTGAAAGAGGAAGAGGCCACTGAAAAGCTATGGAGAACTGAGAGCTTTTTAAAAGTAATGATTATTACCTATCCCAACTGTACTATTTTATTTTTAGAAAGGTAAAACAGTAAGTTTCTTTGAAATGAAATCTTGGAACAATACAGAACCACAATAATCAAGTTGTTTTATTCTGCAATAAATATTTATTTGCACAGTACATCTACCTAACAGCCCTCTCACATGCCCTCTGGTGGTTCTGCAATCCGAGTGTGGTCTTCGAACTGGAAAAAAAAATAAATCCCTCCACTCCCCCCTAACCTCCAAATTATTTTCAAGCACCTAAAAATTAAATCACTGGCTGCTGTAATCAGTGGTGTTTCCTAAACATCCGCTTCTACTCTTGACATAAAATGAGTTAAGTCAGAAAATAATTTACTTCTTCATTAAGATTTGCCATTATGAAGTTTTTAGCGATAGGCACTAAGAAGTATCTATGTCTGCAATTTATTTTGGATGAAGAGTAATTCTCAGCCATCCTTGCTTTCTAGCTAACAGCAAGCAGTATTTTCTCAAGCCAGCTGTAAACTTCATTCTCCAAAGCACTATGAAAAATAACAACACCTCATATATTCTATAAAAGTAAAAACATTTATTAAAAAGCAGACAAAATTTCTTCTGCATACAAATGTTACAGCAAAACCAATAATGATAATTCAGTTTAAAATTTCCAGGAGAAACTTCAGACCAGGTAAACTCAGGAGAGTACCTTAACTAAAGCAAAAAAGCTTTTCTTTCCTGCTTTTCTATTAGCACACATTGGATGGCGTTCAACAAATTTCCTTAGTTTGGGCTCTATTCGGGATCAGTTTGCTCCTCAATTTCCTTAAATTATGGTTAAGTTTTAGATAGAAATGAAAAAATATATGGATTTTTTTTTTTTCCAAAATGTACAAAATACGTAAGGGACAGGAGAAGGAAGGAGTTAGAGGATACAGATCACAGTCATTAAACTATTCTGACAGATGCAGATAATTATTCACCAACATTGTTAAATGAATTCTTACCGTTTCATCTTTCTCCCATTTATCAGTGTTGCTCTTGTCCTGGTTTACTATGTAACCAGGAGGAAGCCAATTGACAGGGGGATCAAAAATCGATACCACCATTCGACTAGGCAGTCCTTTCTTTTTTCCAAGGCGATACAAGTTACAGTTGCTGACCTTCAGGAAAAATACTTTGATAAATCTCGGGACATGCATTTATTGAAGAAAAGGTTAATATATGAAGGACTAAAACGATTTTATGAGGTCAGGTCAGATTTTGTACCATTGTGCATTTCCTTTAGTTCTCTAAAGGGTGTTCAGATTTCTTAACATAGCGCAGCCAATTCACAGCACAGCAGAGATTTATTTATTTAAGTTAAACATATTAGGTGTGACAATTTCAGCTTAATCTCTTAGATTAAGTTCTCTTTGCAAAGTAAAATTACTACTAATTTTAGAATAACAGTAAATATAACCTGGACAAGTGTCATTAATTACCAGTATTAACAATGAACATTCAAGCTAGATTTGGAATGAAAAATGATTACTATTATGGATAGATTGACCTAAACTTTAGCAATAGAAAATGTTAAAACAGTTCCACAAAAAAAATCTTAAGTTATAATCCAGATGTTATTTTGATAAACTTGAAAGCTTTTAAATATTTTAAAAGGAAAGGAAAAACACAGACACAAACATCAAGAGTTTCTTTTACTTTTGAACTACCAACTTCTGACCTTCATTTCTTATTTTAAACACAATTTCCATGTTTCTTTTTCAAGTCTTGAAATCTGAACTCAAATATTAATTGCATTCACAGAATGGCCTGGGTTGAAAAGGACCACAATAATCATCTAGTTTCAACCCTCCTGTTATGTGCAGGGTTACCAACCAGCAGACCAGGCTGCCCAGAGCCACATCCAGCCTGACCTTGAATGCCTCCAGGGATGGGGCATCCACAGCCTCCTTGGGCAACCTGTTACAGTGTGTCACCACCCTCCAAGTGAAAAACTTCCTCCTAATATCTAACCTAAACCTCCCCTGTCTCAGTTTAAAACCATTCCCCCTTGTCCTATCACTATCAACCCGTGTAAACAGTCGTTCCCCCTCCTGTTTATGCATTCGCTTCAAGTGTGGAAGGCCACAATGAGGTCTTCCCAGAGCCTTCCCTTCTTCAAGCTAAACAAGCCCAGTTCCCTCAACCTCTCCTCATAGGAGAGGTGCTCCAGCCCTCTGATCAGTTTAGTAGCCCTCCTCTGGACCCACTCCAAGAGCTCTGCATCTTTTATTTGAAACAAGTTATTTAGCCTTCCTCATTTTCCAAGGCTAGACTACTCAGTCATTTAATCCTCAGTGATGCATTTAATTAGAAGTAGTCAATCAAATTCTCAACATTAAATTTAAGTTATGTTACATGGAAAAAAACAATTATGACTCTAGAATTCTGAAACTGTAACAACAGAAGTGAAGACTTTTCTCACTACCATTTACATTGAAATACTTTTATAAATTTTTATTTAACAGTTATATACAATTTGTTGTTTGTTTCATTTTTTGTATTCCTGTAAGATCATGCAAAAAGCTTCTGTGGAAGGCAACTCATTGTGGAAACAAATAAAAGGCCAGTAAAGCTACAGTCTAATGCTCTGTGCAGCTAACTCTTGAATCAAGTGGTCCCAATTAAGAGTTTCTACTCTAAGCAACTCAAATGTTTGGTCCACCAAATATGTTCTCACTAACCCAGAACTTTCAGTTCAATTTAATCCCATCCTTTCTTAGGGACAGTCATCAGCTGCTTTAGATTTAGAAACGAACTGTAAAAAAACAATTTCAATTACAGCTATAGTAGCATCAATCTCCTCATCTTGTATTTTTATATATATATGCATATATATGAAAAAATATATACACACACACTTATGCAATACAACATATGTAATTACATATACATACAATATATGTAATTCATATTTATATAATATGTAATATTATATCTGATAGCATTGGATTGTTACTACTTACTTTTTTACTTCTCATGTACGACAGCCGTCCCTCGTGTGCATCAGGATAAGTGCAAAACAAGTACGTAGTGATGGCATGCTTTAAAAATGAATCACCAAGCATTTCTAGCCGCTCCAGATTAAATCCATCACTAGCATTTGAAAGAGTCAAAGCCTGAAGAATGAGACCAGGATTAGGACCGAGAGTTTTTGAGGAGTACCCACTGGAAGTGTTCTTTTCAGAATCCATTTTGTCTTTTGAAAGATTAAGAGCTGTTGAAGTACTGGTGGTCACTGTCATTTTGGGGCATCCATCTGAGGTAGATCTGTTAGCATTTCCATCAAGGTATTTATTACTCAGTAGAGTACATTCATTGCTGGGCTTGGGCTGGTTCTCACTGCTGTATAAATTCTGAATGGGATATGAGGTAGTTGGTTGTACAGGTATTTCCTGCCTGCAGTAATTCAGCTGATTTCCTTGGCAAAAGTCTCTGTTAACTAAATCACAATTGCCATTGGCAAGATTTTTATTATAAGAAACACCATTAATTGCTGCAAGTTCTGCTGAGACATCAATTTGGAGTTTACTGGGTGACTCATCAAGCAGTGTTCTGTAACTCACAGACATTTGGTCATGTTTTTCTGCAGAAGAGGTTCTATTAGCACCTTGATGTGCAGCATTTTCAGGGACTACAATTGTGCTGTGCTTACAGTAATTTTCATTCTCTACCAAAGAGGAGCTAGGTATGGAGATGAAAGATTTGCTGTCAATAGATTTTTTCCATCCGAAGTCCAGGTTAGGATATCTGCGAAGAGAACATGCTGGCTTTGTTAAGAAGAAAAAAATATGATAGATAACTACATGCACATAGTTGTTAAAAAAAAAAAAGTAATATTTTTCTGAAAAAAAGTGAATTTAGATGCTGTGGTCACTATTTCCAATCAAATCTTTATGAGTTTCACTGAAAACTTCGTTTAACATGAGTTAAACAGAGACTATCAATCTCAAATTCTCACAACAACAGTAAGTTTTTCTCTTGTTTTCAATGAAGTCAGATTTTAAACATATTGAAAAAATATGTACCTGAAATCTGCAGGTAGTGATTTAACCCCTACACCAGCATCAGTGGCTGTTTGAGCTCTTAGTTCCTCTGCTGTCAAAAGGCAGTGCAGGCGATAAAGTATGCTGGGGAGGCAAACTGCTTTTCTCCACAAAGATGCTGGAATAGGATGTATAGCACATAGCTCAGGAACCAGTATCTGAGATGGGAAGAATATAATTTTATTTCTAGGGGTAGTCTCCAGGTTACTGTTAATGCAGAGGCAACTTCAGTTAATACTTGTATTTTACCTGCTTATTCTGCAGACTTTCCCATTTTGCTTTCCTCTTCTCAGCACTGCTTAGTGGAAGTGCTTTCCCCTTCTGATTTAAATGGCGAGGAGTCAAAAGATTAAGTCTAAAATACATGTGAAAATAGTTTAATATAAGTACATAATGAATAAAACTTATTAGCTTAAACTTTCTGAAGTGATGACTTGTTCATAGAATTTGCCTGTAAAGCATTATGAAGTGAAGCAAAGCTACCTCTAAAAAAAAAAGAAAGAATAAAATGAACAGACTCAAGTTACAGTTGTATAACATATGCAAAGTATCACTCAAGAAAAAACAGCATTTTGGAAAGCACAAACCTTCAACTTTATCACACAGAAGAAAAAAATAACATTTTATTGTCATACTTCAGGTATCATACAGAAATATGATTGTTGTTTACCTTGAAGATGTGTGGTCCACATCCAGCAGTGGCTGGTTGAGATTGGTCAGATCAAGATTATATTTTGTTTTATAATATTCAGCAAAAGTTTCATATTCAGGGGAAGGGAATTTACTGAGTGGAGTAAGATCAGTGTATACGTCAGCTACATAGAATCGATGAGGCTGATCAAAATTTCGATACCTAAAAAAAAATTTAGCATGTTTTATCCTTGTGGTGATTTCTTAATGCTTGAATGTGATTAAGTGATAAACCATTAAATAACTCACTTTGGGCTTTTCTTTTATTTTCAAACACTAGTTAAGTAAATGAGTGTTTTACAACTTTAAAATCAAATATATTGATAACAGTCCCTAGTAATTCTGCGAATGATGATTTCTTAATTCCAAACACCAATTAAACTTAGTAACTTAGCTTTTTCTAATCTTTATTGGTTTCCTTTTTGTGCTAGAGTCAGTAGAACTCAGAATCAGAATTCTCATACAAAAAATGTATTCTATCCACACTGGCAAATAAGATTAAAATACAAAAATTCAAATACCTAATGTAGTAAATTCACCATACCTTTCCAAAGGCAACATAATTATTTTAATAGAGGTACAATATTAGAAAACTGAAGCCAGGATTGTGAAACACCTTTTAGTGATGCTCACTGGATACTATGTGAAAATCTGAAATTCTTCACTGAAGAATATGTTGTGTAATTAAGCTTTCACAAAATCCTTTTTTCTTATCTTATTCAAAGTCATTTTGTATTTTGTAGTCATTAGTTATTTTGTAGAATGTCCAAATAACACAAATACTTGCTACTCACCGTGGAATGATAACTGCATCCTGGTAGTCTTCTAACTTGAAAATAAAAGGCATTTCTTTTGTATACTGTGTACTGGGAATGCCTGTACGCGCTTCAGACTTCTCAATATCTTCCATAAACTTAAAGTCAATGTCCAAAGTGCTGGAGTCATCAACTTCAAAAAGGAAAACATATACCAGTTATGAACAGGAGAGTTTTTCAGGAAGAGATTTTCTGACAAGTTGCAAATTACATTTTTTTTTTCTTATTCAGTGTGCTTTCCTATTCTGTATTTCTATTTTACTTGTGATACATACATATACACACATACAAAAATGTGTGTGTGACTATATACCCTAATTGAGTCAACTGAAATTTCCCATAAATCAACTCACATCACTAAGTTAAAACTAATTTAGAATTGTGAATAAGAAATAAAAACAAAACTGACATAAGATTTCATACTACCACATATGGCATTATTTCAGCAGTTAATCTCTGAAATTTAAAATAAATACTAAAAAATGTTTTGCTAAAAGAATTAAAAGTGAATATTAAAAAAACACTTCTGGTCTTACCAACATTAAGAGGTAGAACACAGTAGGCTGAATCAGCTTCTGTGGGTTTGAACTCTAGTGCAGGTTTCTCAAGACGAAGAATATGTGAGAAAATGTACTGGTGGAGTCGTGTTATCAGCTCAAGCATTTGCAAAGACAGAGTAAAACCAGATTTCTTAAGTTCAATAGATATTGTAACCTCTCCAGAGCGAGTATACACAGGAAAGTGAGGAATCTAAATATGGGAAGACAAACAAAATCAAAAGGGAAAGATTCAGAATAGGAGTCCTCTACAGAGCGCTAGTTGTGTAGTTCAGACATTTGTATGCAAAGACTGCTGCTAACACTTTGCTACCACAATGCTAACGACAGAAAGTCTACCAGCTGTTTGAAACAACACTCACGTCTCTTCCAAGGCTGGGGTCAGACTATACACCAATTGTCTAATATCCCAGCCTCTTTAAAGAGTAAGAAATAACTCCAAAGGTACCCTTCTATAACAGCCTAAGTTGCTTAAGCTGGCATTCTCCAGTCACACTTTACTACTTTAGCATTTGCATCAGAGGTACTGCTTGCCTCCCCTCACAGCAAACCAGATCAAGTGCTATTTAACATCTTTGTAGGCAACAAGGACAGCAAGTTTGCAGATGACAACAAGCTGAGTGGTGCAATTGACAACAAGCTGAGTGGTGCAGTTGACATGCTAGAGAGAAGGGATGCTATTCAGAGAGACCTGGACAGGCTTGAGATGGGCCCATGCCAACCTCATGAAGTTCAACAAGGCCACATGCAAGGTCCTGCACCTGGATCAGGGCAGTTCCAAGCACAAATACAGGCTGGGCAGGAATGGCTTGAGAAAAGCTCTGAGGAGAAGGATTTAGGGGAGCTGGTTGATGAAAGGCGCAGTGCAAACTGGCAATGCATGCTTTCAGCCAGAAGGCCAACTGTATCCAGGGTCCAGAGGAGGGCCACAAAGATGATCAGAAGGCTAGAGCACTTCCCCTGCAAGGACAGACTGAAAGAGTTGGGGTTCTTCACCAGAGAAGGCTCCAGGGTGATCTTATACAGGCCTTCCAGTACCTGAAGGGTACTGGATTCACTGTGACTTGTTTACTAGGAGTTTGATATTTTTGTCACCATAGATATTTTTAAGCCAGGATGGAATTTGAGAGTACTCACTTCAGATAAGAGTGCAGTAACTATATCATCTCATTTGCACTCTCACTACACAGAGCTCCTCTCAGATGCATCTACAATTTACAGCTTTGTGTCAGTTTCTTTTAGTACAGCATACTTCTGCTGCTGCAGAAGTACTCAGAGGAATACTGAGAGGACTTGTTATTATAGCTTTCCTAAAGATGAGGTAATACTTCAGGCCACTGTCCTAGCTGACACTCTGTTTCTATCATACCTCTGACAAAAAGAAGAGGAACATTTGGAATTTGCCACTACAAAATAATAAAAAATGAAAATTTTCAATTTCAAAGCTTATTTACAAGAGAACAGCTTGTTCTATCACTAATGACAGAAAATAAAGTGATGTCCGGATTAGATACAATACCATTTATTTTCCAAAGGTAGCTTGATATAAGCATACTTATAAAACAGAACAGACCAGTCGGAAGGGACACACGCCAAGTCTAACCACCTTTGAGGTCTAACCAAAAGTTAAAATATATTAAAGCTGTTATTCAAATGTCTCTTGCCTTTTATGGTCATTTCCAACTCTTCAGCCTGGAAAATGAGATTGTGAAGCATGTTAGATGAAAGAAAGTAGCTAAATTCATTACCTGAGGTATAGGTTTGGCTGTCAATATGCCAAAACATCTCGTTGTATCCTCAGGAGGATATAGCTTTCGTCTCCTAAAGTTGAGCTCATCAGGCAATGGAGTAGTTAACACCATTCCTATTACATACAGGTAACAGGGCTGATCAGGTTTGGGATAACTATCCCTCAAACATTCTGGAATCTAAAAATCATAAAATAGAAAAACATTAGCACAATTAAATCAGCAAAACTATTCTTTGAACAAGCCTCCTTATCCTTATTTGATAAGGTACTGCTAAAACCAAGGAATAAGAAAATTAATTTAGACTTAGGTAAGTTCTTTCTTACACAAAAACGTCTGATCAGCAACCTGGCCTGGAACTTAGGAACTCATGTCAAAGGAGAAAATGCTGCCAGATCTTCCTGTTTGCTAAGGGAACTTAGCACTACATTACACAACTAACCTTCCATTGCATCCACTGTGTTAGAAACGTAAGTCTAACTGTACAATACAGACATAACTTCACTATTAACCCAACTAAACTTTTGATGCCTATTTCTAAATTTAGCCAGTATATCTGGAGCGCACTATGTCCAACATCTTTCAATCTTAACACTAGAAGGAAAATAAATAAAGGGAGGAGGGAAGGAGAGAGAAGCAACATAAAAACCCCCTTACAATCTAGTAATTTAGCTTTCCTATAAACTTGGCTGAATTTACACCTTTATTAACACAAATTCTTTTCCCTAGATAAACAGTTTTAAAACATCATTTTCTTTAAATACAATTTGAAATAAAAAAAAAAACACCCAAGTTTTATACACACCCTGTGTTGCCCAGCATTACATTGTAAAAGTCTTCTATTAACAATCATAGCTTGTAAGTTTGAATGCTCTCAACAGCCAGGAGCATTTTTAACTCTGCTGCTCTTATTTATCATAGATCGTCCCTTACTTCTGGTAGGAGTTCATTACTTTATGGATCTCAGAAAGTTATCCTTCTGCTTATCTAAAAATAAACTGCAATACGTGTACTCATAGATTTTAAAGTTAGACTGTAGCAAAACTAAGGCCTTGGCTTAGTGGAAAATTACTCATAAGTTTAATAACTATATTAAACCCAAGAGGATCTTGTAGACCTTAAACATTTGCCAAAGCTTTTTTTCCAGATGTGAAAAGTTGGGACTGAAGTGAGGGAAAATATTCTCAGTTTCTGTATTAAAAAAAATGGCTGAGGAAGAATGATGCGTTACTTGACAAATCAACCCCTCTGAATGAGACAGAATTTTGTCATGCATTTTACAAATAGCCTTAATTCAGAAAAATCACTAGAGGTAAGGGGACTGAAAAAGGCCTTTGTGGTGACAAGAAACACAAGAAACACCTTGCAAAGTTTCAAGCCAATAAGTCTTGCAGGAAAAAAAAAGGTTTCCTAATCTTGTAATTCGCTCTATAATATTCCTTATGATGATGCAGTCTCCTTTACTGGCCTTTCATAATAACCAATTATTTAAGCTACTATAGAAATTGGAGTACGTGGAGGAATCCAAGAATGGAGTTCTTGCACATCACCATAAACTACTACTCTGAGACTACATGCTGACATTCTCGAATGTGATCAAGAGCTACAAGTTTCGTCATGAAATGCAAAGATTGTCAGAAGTGACTACCAGATGCTACTGCTTGTTAGCAATCCTATTCAAAGGACCATAAGGCAGAAATCAACAACTACAGGGGAAGAAGGCAGGTTCCTGAGTAGTCATAAGGTACTTTGACAAAGCTTCTTTCCTCCATTTTCTTCACAAATACCATAATAGTAAGTTCAATTATACAATCTTAAGTAGCTGAAACCTGTTGTAACAAATTTATGGATAAGCTACTTAATGACACAGAACTATCAACTATCTCATATATACCTTTTAGTATTTTAGGAGTAATATTTGAAAGTAAAAATATTATATTTGATACTCTGAGGGTTAAACAAAAAAAACATGAAAATCTTTGTTGGAGCAATACAGTTACTGAACTAAACCAAACATCTAAAAAACATTAAAAATAGGTAAAGGAGCAATTTCTGCACTTGGTTAGTGGCTTCCACATAATTTTGACCTCCGAACATCTTCATCAATTTTCGATTATTTCTCTAATCAGTAATTCTTCTGTTACTCTACTACATTTAACAGACAACTTAAGTATTTACAGATTATCAACAACAGATAATTCTTCCTTCTAGTTATGACAGTTTGTATGGGAACTGTTAGGTCACGGCCTGAACCAGATATTGAGCACCTGGTGAAGGGGTGTACCCAGCCCTGGGAGCACAAGTGGGAGCAATTGACCTGTGTGACCAAGAGTGGACCCAAGGCCTCATCTAATCTCATTCAAGGGCCAGCAGATGCAAGGGAAGAATTTCTACTTGGAGATCATATTCTCTGGGGTGTTTGGCAAGCCCTGATCCTCATAAAGGGCTAAGCAACTCCTTCTTTATGACCAGATTGTGACTGCTGCCCTTCTAGGGCTTAAAACAACTATATCTACTGCTGACTATCCTTACACCATACTAAGAAAAATAGTTACCAAGTTTTGAAGAAACTGTACATTCTTTGAACTACAGACAATAACACATGCTCCCATAAGCTCATTCAGGTAATAGTGCAAGTTTCCATAGTCAAAACTATAAAGTACACCAAGTACAAACTGAATTGTTCCAAAAGATTCTTATCAGATAAGAATAAACATTAGCAATACTAACAGCTTTAGGGTAGCACTGTCGTCTTTTTGTAGAGCCTGGTCTTCCTGGCACACTGGTTTCTTCTTCATCATGTAAATCAAGCTCTTCCTCATATTTAACCGTTTCTTTTCCAACTGGCATCAAATGATCATCCAGTTCACCTAGGTATTGTGAAAGATTACAAATAAATAGCAATTAAAACAATCACACTCTCACCTTGTCAAGGTCCATCCACATATGCTCAGGAAAATGCCTGACCTGAGTTGTTAAAATTCACTTACTATTGCAAGGCTTCAAAAGTGAAATTTGGGAAAAGAATGATAAAGGTTATTTTTCTTACGTATTTATTTTAAAATATAAAAAATTACAACAAATGTTTTAATATAAAGTTAATAACAGATGAAAAATCGAATTCTGTTATGAAAACATCCAAGAAAATTCAACTGTCTTTGGCCACAAAAAGCAAGCAGTAACTGAAATACCTGTCTAAAAAACACTCAAATTAAGTTATAGTAACAAAGAAGGAACAGATATTCATGTATCATTCTAAAATAGGAAATAATACTGTTGACTATGCACTCAACATGGAGCTGGGCCATAGAAATATTATTCTGGGATAAATTCACTGGCATGAATTCAGACATCAAAAGGTGTAACTCATCATAGTTTTTATTTAAAAGAAATGTAAATATTTCCATATTGCATCAGAGCACTGATGACATTGGCTAAAATATTTTGTAATTAAGAATATGCTCCATTATACCTGGCTAGAGACAAGACAATTGAAATAATTCTGCAACATTATTTCTGAATCATGACTTAAGATGCAGTAAAAACTACAGTCTGGGACTCTGGATTTTTAATACTTTGTTTAAACTCACTTTTAAAAGTCAACAATTTATTTTCTGGCTGCAGTATCTAAATCCTGATCTACAACCAATACCTTGTAGAGAATGAAATTCTTTTCCCTTCTACACTGAATATATTCAATATTGAAATCTCTTTGGCTTTCATTAAAGTTGCATTTGCTGCTTAAGACAAAATTAAGTTAAATAACAGGATTCTTCTGGAAAATGACTTTAGCTTACATGGTGTAAGCTAAACTATAAACTACATTATATAAAAAACAAGCGAAACGAAGTAAGAATAAACAGCTTCAGCAGAAATTCATGTATATACATAACGTCGAGATCATCTTCAATATTTAATTGTAAAACAAACTATTTATGAAAGAAATACTGCTTTTCAAATTCTTACCAATTTTGTGCAGTTTTTCACAGCAAATAAGAGCTACAACTCTCTCAGCCAATCTTGCACAACTCATTGGAGGACCCTACAAACATTTAAATATTTCTTGAAGTCTTTAGTTGATTAGCACATATATCACAAACAGTTTAACAAAAACATTAGGCAAACAAAGCTTAATAAAATATCACACTGATGACAGTGTTGTGTAGATATGCTAGTTTACACTGTTTTTCTACAGAAATCAAAATTACAAGCTTCTGAATTCAAAGTACCACTGATGAAAAACAATTAAGCATGTTCACGAAAAATACCAACAAAACATGCACTGAGATGGATATCGAAATATTTTTGCCCACTGAAAAGACAGTAATTGTTGCAAAAAAGATAACAGAAATAGATTTGAATGCAGTTACAGAGCACAAAGTAGGAAGAGAAAGTCATATCAATTTAAAAAATGGTGCATGCACACTTCTATACCAACAAATTCACTTATTCTGCTGTCCCCAAATACCTACAACAATTGACGCTCGAAGAGGTGAGTTGATTGGCAGGTAGAGAGTAGAGTAGAATGTATGATCAGGTAGTTCTCTGGTTTTACACTTTGGAGCTAGGTGTGTAAATGGATCACTTGGTAATCTAGCACAGTACCTAAATTGACAAGAGATTTTTCAAATAATCAAAACTTGCAAAGTGAAACTTAAATATATTTTCTATAAACTCTTACCTTACTGGCACAAACACTACAGGAGACCATTTTACACTAAGCTTAGCACTGCAAGAGTACATTGTTGACTCATGTTCAACTATCTGCCAATTAGGAGATCTCCAAGTCCTTTTCCACAAAGCTGGTTTTTAAGGAGGTACTTCCAAGGCAGCAATGATAACTACTGTAAAAATGACTATTTGTCATGGTTTTATGATTTTTTGTTATCAGTACTGCACATCATAACATCATATAAAGCACTGGGAGTTAAAAAGCTAATGCTTCAATTCCACGGACTGCTGATTTTCCAGGTACCCAGTTCTCAAAGAGAAGAACTACATACCCCAGAGGACTCTGCATTTTCCCTTCAGAGGGAAAGCTAATACTGCTCACAAGTCACGAGACTGCCCCCTTTTTTTTTGCTGCTCTTCTTGGCAGTGTATGCTCCCTTGCCATCTCTCTTCCAGCTTTAGAGTAAGGCCTTCAGTTTTGGACACTCTCACTCATTTTGTTTGATTTATAAGCCTCAATTCCAATTATATTGCGTTATCTTGCATCCCAATACTGTATTTAGTAAATTAGCTTTCCTCCACAGATCGTTGCTGCTATTTTGTTTTTAGGCACATCACCCATCTCTCTATCCTTCCCCTTTTTCCCACTTTTCCTGGGTGCGGGTTTGTGGGTGCCCCTTCCCCATTAGTCACAGAACTGGGCTCAACCAGTTCTTTGACACCTTTGACACCTCCCCCTATGCCTCCCTCTTTTTCAGGTTGTCCCCATCATAGACAAAGACAGATCTAGAGATAACTCCATGACACTATTCCATCCTATGTACCAGAGTTTCCTTTCATGTTTTTCTCTATCTCCAGATCCTTCCTCCATTGTAATCACATTCTCTGCTTCTCGAATACACATCAAAATCAAACACGTCAAGGAACTTTTTATGCAACCATGACAGTGACATGCACTGGACCTTCTATGGCTCAAGACCAATACCACACATAACCACGTGTCAGATACATTTGAGTAGTCTACCATTACATTCTCAATCTGACTGCTTTGCTGGATTTCATTTGCCAGGCAACCCATCCAAATGATCTATATCCATGTAAATTTGTCTGCAATTACATCAAAAGCTCTATTAACAGAAGGATTTTACATGAACTGCTTTTCCCTTGTTCACAGAGTCAAGCACATTATCACACGTGAAACAATAGGTTCAGACATGCAAAAGCTGCTCTTGATGAAACTGTTGGCAGTTGCCAATCACCACTTCTTTGCACTTATGGAAACATATTCCAAAAGGATTCATACTAAACAGCTCAGCAGTCACGTACTTCTCTGGCTCCTCCTTTTTACCTTTTTAGAAGAGGGTCACAACATTCACCTTATCCTGTCTCTAAAGGCCTTTTCTAACTGCCATGGCTTTACAAATATACTGTTGGCTAGTTCCCTTGGAAACACGCTCTCCAATCTAGCAGAATGGTACTACGTTCAGCTTAAAGCACTGTTGTTTTTTTTTTTTTTTCCAACAACAACACATAGACTTTGAGTGAAATTTGCAATTGGAACATTTTACTACAGTTTTAATAAGCCATTTATTAGTTTTTAAAGTTAGCTTATTAAGAGAAAAAACATTCTTGCTATCTGTTTCAAAATTAAATGTTTTCAGGGCAACTTTTATCTACAGGATGATTTTAATTAAACAGGAGTCTGTTATTATGTTTATTAGCAAAGCTAGAATATCTGTAGAATAAAGAGAAAAAAGCAAATTATACCTTCAAACTTCCACAACAATATTCTTTGGAACACCCTGTTAAGATTTCCAAGATGAAATGTGCACAATGCCCAACTCTATATTCTTATGTTGCAAGATAGAGTAATGAACTTACTTCTATTCATAGAAAAGTAGTAAAAGTGAACATCCCTCATACCTATTTATGTGTCCAATAGCTGTGTTGATAGTAACTCTTGGACTGTTCTCATCTGTCCTCAGCACATAGGGTGGAAACACATCATCATCATCAACAATGGGTTCAGTTTCCGTTTCGCTGGTATCAACAGATTTTGAGCATTTATTTCTCAGGATCTTAACATTTCAAGAACAGAACACGGTAAGAGATTTTTCCTTTAAAACACATTACAATAAATTTAACGAAAGTAGGCATAGTCCTTTGACCACATACCTTCTCAATTGCTTTATACGTCTTAAGATCTTCTTCAAAACTTTTAATTTTGTCTGTATCTGCTAACATTATGTAATTGGAAATCGGTGCTCTGGCTCTTCCTTTTGACTGCACATAGGAACGGTATTCTGTGGGCAAATCAAAACGCACCACCAAATTGCATTTTGGTATGTCAACACCCTCTTCTACAATACTGGTAGCAATAAGAAGATTGGTCTCATGTGCTCGAAATTTTCTAAGAACCTGTAAAAGTAAGGAAGACAAATTTGAGACAAAAACAAATTGAAAGATTGATCTATCACCATTTGCATTACTCAATTCATCAACAAGCTATTAGAGCTAAGAGGAATTGATCAGACATTCAAAGAACTCGTTTAAGTATGCTGATATAAAGTTACAAGTATTTACAAGACACAGCAAGGCTATTTTATCAGAGTAGTTAGATTTTTAGGAATTATATCTGATATGTGTAATTAAGCAACTCTAAGGATCTACTGTCAGGCAACAAAAGCATCACACCTATTTATTTAAATTTTTAAAATACAATATAATAAAATACTGCCTTCAGGAGAATGGTTTTTCTTCCTATAAATTATTTCCATGGCTGAAACATACTCTTTTGGGAGGGAAATAAAAGACCAACACATTCTAGAGTTGGTACTTCTATTTTTAATATTTCTAACCAATAAGGATTTTTTTTTCCTGGAGAGTAGGGAAGAAAAAAGGTAAGAAGAAGCATAAAGAATATTTTCAGGAACATTAGGAGCTGTGTCAAGTTAGATCAGAAATTCAAGAAAAGAAGTAAACATCTTAAGAAACCTAAAAAGGAAAATCTACAGACTACCCCATGATAATATATACAGAGAGGCTCCCATAAAAAGAGTGAATATTTTAAATTTGTTTAAGAATTGATGCCATCAACATTCGCCGATGTTAAGCTTTAATACAAGCAGTGTATGATCAGCTATCCTTCATTAGTGGATTCAGCCCATAGTAGTTTGTGATATTGTTTAAGACTTTATATTCTGGATGACAGAAGTGTCTTTTTTGCACCCTTATATTAAAAAAAAAAAGGTGTGATTTTATGAGAGATTTATTAGGCACGATTAACTTCATTACTTTGATAAGACACTTAACATTTTTTCCTTTAAGTACATTCACTATTAAACTCCTGACCTACTACATTTCAGGAGTTTTATTACATTAAAATTTTGGTGTTGCTACATTATTGTGCATTTTTTGAAGTCTGACTTTAACATTACTCTCTCCTCACCATGTAAAAGGCCAAATTGATAAAAGCATACAATGATTTCAAAAAAGATACTAGATAACAATATCATCACAAAAGCCAGAATGTTGACATCAGCCTTGGTGGGAGAAAAGTGCATTTGATCTCCAAAAACTTTACATGCTCGAACCATGGTGTTTTACATTTATATAGCTTAGAGATTTAACAAATGCTCTTTTAGCAAAAATAAACAAAAGAAGCCTAATAACTGTTAAAAATGCTAGGAACTTTAATTTGCTGTATAGTATTACTATACTATTAATGCAATGGAAAAAAAAAAATAGATGGCTAATGATCTGACAAGAAATGAGCATGACTTTAAATAAAGTTTTTACATGAAGTTTTGTTTGTGCAATGTGACATACAATTTATCTAAACATCTGTTATTTTTTATGAAGAACATCTGTACCTCAAATTAGCAATCATATTTGTAAAACCACAGGTATTCCCCAAACTTCTAATGACTGTTCCCAGATTCTGCCTGTAAGAAGAGTTACTGAAGTTACTGCTAGTTTCAATTATTTTTCTTGAAGTTACCTCTTCCTGTTTTCTGAATTCTACTTCCATCTGCTTGTTACGAGGCTGATTCTTGCCAATGCCATGTCCAGTTATGAAATTGCTACTGATGTAAGCCAGTTCTGGATCTTGTTTGCCAGCTTCTTTTATCAACCTAAAAATATCACGTGCTTTTTAGAAGTCACACAAGCCAGACAGTGGAAGACAATCTTTTGTTTGCAATAGGTTCATTTAAAATGAATAAAAATGTGGAAGTGCAAAAATTAAACATTGTGCTAAAATATAAGCTAGCCTTAGTTATCCCTTTAAACTAGATTCTACTGAAAGCCTTTGTAAGGATAATAAAAGACAGACCATACAAATGCATGTATCGTATACATTCTAGGGCCATCATGGTAAAATACATGGCTAAAAACCAGACTTTTTAAAACCAAGCTACTACTCTAAAGCTTCCTGTTAGCAAACTCTCTACTCATGACATTTTAGTTTGTTTTCTGTAAGGGACAGACTCTAGCAGAAATACCTTTAACTGTTCCCTCAAAAAAGTATGTTTCCTGAATACACAGTGTTCATTCAATGTTTTTATTTTACATCTTTCTTTAGCTTATAGAAAGAAGTAAAAAAGGCTGCCCTTGGCAATGCTTTGGTTTCACAGATGAGAGAAAACTGCTTGCATAAAGTACTGAATCTAAAACAATGTATTTGTGGATTTAAAAGCATTATTAGCTTGCTCAAAGTAATTGTTTATGCTGTAGCATCCTTAGTTGACCTGTTTTCGGCATGGAGAGAGTATGGGATTTCTCAGCCATACAGGTTTATGATAGCAGAACCAATAAAACCAAGGGTTCTTGTACAGAATCATATCTCTTGCATGTCTCAGTATAGCCATCCCAGTACCAGTTCTTACAGTACATCCCTCATTTTCATTAAGAGGCTTTCCTCCTGTCCAAGGAAAGCCTGCCTCCATATACCTCCTTATACCAAGTAATTCCAACCCCTCCCAGTAGGGCTTGAGAAGTTCTGCCTGACGGAACGCTGCTGCTGCCAATCAAATGGAAAATGGCTACGTTCTCCTTCTTCTCTCTCCCACTGGAGTACTTACTGCTCAAGTCACTGATTTTAATAGTTTGTGAACCTAGAACATTTCCTTCCTTTGTATTGCGTTGAAACTGTAATGGACAGTGAGAATAAATAAGATAATGGAAAACTCACAAATAGCTTGGTATCCTTACAGAAACAAACTAGAAGGATCCTCTTGTATTGAAATTTGCTCTTATTAGCTTGAGGCTGAACAGACTCACTTTTTGTATGCAGTCTAGGCTCTTGCAACAGATATTCTAAGAAAGTAGCAGTTACAACTTTAACAACACCTTTTTTTTTATTTTATTTTTATTTTTCTGTGCGGCATTTCTACCAAGCTGTATAGCTTCAAGGGCAACTACTACTGAACTGAAATGTTCTTTGTGTCCCACTCATTACAAAAATTGAGAAAAATTAAAAGCAACTGAATAAACACACCACTGTGTAGATAATTGGAAAGTTCGAGAAACATTTAAGACTTTAACCTCATGATTTAATAGAAAACGTAAGTAGTGATAGCTTAACAGGCACCATTTTCCAAAGAGATATAAAAGAAATTCTACTTTCAGATCCTTCTCTAGGAAGGCTGTGAGGCACTTCAATAAAAATGGATGGATGCTGAGCTTTAGAAAGTGATTTCCAGTTCCTCTAAGCTCCTTTTCAGAACAGGACTCAATTGTACAGACAAAACAAAAAAGCTTCATCAGCTGTGTCGTATTAATAAAAATGTTGGTTTCTGAGGGGAGATTTGTTGGTTTTGTTTCTGTTTGGTAGTTTGTTGTAGTACTTACAACATGAGTAGTGGCTGTTGCTGTTCTCCAAAGTTCTCCAAAGAAAGATCAGCTTTAATTACTGCTTCAGAGCGGGGGGAAGGGGGGTGGAAATCGACCTACTTCTCTTACAAAGCCCAATGCCTTCCACAAGAGTTACCCCTCCTTAAATCATGAACTACAGACTATAATACTATTTTATAAAGTTTGTTTTACCATAATATAGATTTTTGTTTAAATTGATAGTATTTCAAGTTAGTTCTGATCCATATTGGATCATTGGAAGCTTGAGAGGTTTTGATACACAAATTCAAACTCTCAAGGCTTCCTCATTCAGGAAACAGTACCTCTTCCTGTACACACAGCATCAGTACAGCTGGAGTCAGCAGATGCCCTTGAACTTAAGCATCTACATAGAAGGCCTACAGGATTCTGTCAACCAGCTCAAGTCTGCTTATCTTCCAGAATTCTGAGACTGAGTGTAGGTGCCTAAGGCTTAAAGATGGCAGAAAGTGGCTATTTATTCTACCTGGATATCATATTCTCTGTTGGTTTCAAGAGCACTCAATATATACTAATAGTGCATAAGTCTGTCTACAAGAACACCTGATGAAAAGAACTGGAAATTAAAGGATTTGTAGTTTAATAGCTGAAATTTAACAATTCTGTTCACTTCTTCTTCAGTAGTGAAACACTAATCTCAACTTTGCAAAAAATTTGTCATCATCTTTTGAAGTTATTTCTTCAGGAGCATTAATTCCACTGAAGTACATGATTTGCATTATATTCCGTATTTATACAAACATATTTAAGAATGTAGAAAGGTTAACAAAAAAGGGCACAAAAAACACATAGGCAAGTCTGTAGATTAAAAACTATATTATGCAACTCAAACTACTCAGTCAGGTAAAAGATAACAGAAGCATCAGAGTCAGAGTTATCCAGAACTCAATAAGCAGACTGCAAAGTACATTTAGCACACTATCAAAAAAGAAAAACCCCTACATCTTCCCTTCCCCCCAAGACATAAATCAAATGTCACTCAGTTTGTGTCAAATGGTGTTTAAGAATTAAGAATGTTAATTATATCTATCATTGATCATACTCAAAAATAAGAACTGATAAGGAATGAGATTACTCCAAAGTATATCTTGGCAAAAATTCCAGGATTCCTATTTTTCTTGGTGAATACTGTAAGAAAGTGCTTAGTGTAGTACTGGTAAACTTTCAGAGGAATTTTGGCAAGCACAGATATGATTTTCTGCAGGCCTGTATCATGTAATAACATGATTTAGTAAGCTAATGGTAAAATTTCCAGAAGTATAGCACTCGGTAAGTTAGAGAAATTTCCAGCATCCATTGCAAATATATAAAGACCAATTAATACAAATAAGTTTACTCTTATTTTACAGTTAAGGTACAATATTTCATCTTCTACACAAATCAAATTGCAAACTCAGGTGCAGAATTAACCCTTGAGTACAATTTTCAAATACATTTGCTCTCCCCATCCACACACAACCTATTTGTTTTTTGCTATTCTTTCTTGACACAGCTCTAGTATAATTTCCTAATGCAACAAATAGAGTTCTGAAAAGAAAAGACAATCCCTTTCATATTCACAATATAAACATCCACGTGCTGGCAGCTGAACGTGCCTTTTTTTTGTTTTTAAAGAAGATTTACCTATTTAGAACAACTGCTGTGTATCTTCTTTCCACAAAAATAATTCCACATAAAATATTCGTAAAAGGAGATGGGAAATTAGTCTCTGGCTTCTCTTTCTCCTCAATTTCTTCATCCTCATCATCATCTTCAGAATCACTCCACGATACGTAATTATCCTGATTTCTGTTGTTATACCATTCAACACTTTCAAACTGCTGCCGTTCATATGGTTTGTATTTGCGCAAAATTTCAAGCAGCTTTATTACTTTTGGAGTTACAAATTTCAGGTCAAGTGAGGCAGGTGAGAAATGCTCTTCACAGAGTGCATGTATTTTCCTTAAGAAAGTGTCTGTAAACAATAAAAATTTCCTGTGCAGCTCCTCTTGCTCATGTTTGATATACTTCTGTAGCTCTCTCACCATCATCCCAGCTACCTTATCTGCACACCAGGGTCCCAGAACAACCAACACAGCTCGACAGTCTGACAATATCTACAACAGATGAATTCAAGTATCAGTTCAAAAGAATACATTCATAAGTTATTCACGTAAGACAGCTCTGGTTCCTCATGTCATAGTGCTTATGAATATTGTGATACGTTCTATTACAAAGCTATTTAAAGTTGGCGTTTGTCATTAAGACAACCTTGGGAACATTGGTACTTAATGGAGCCATTTTCCCCCCTCCTAAATTGCAAAACCTCAACTTTGAGCTTTGCACATTTCTGAGCCTTAAAAAAAGTTTAAGTAGCATTTTGCAATTTGATGAAATTCCTATTTGAAATTAGCTTCAGATAGTTATGCTAAGAAGGGGAATACTTCTTGAGGCAGCTCAATAAGCAAAGCAAAAGTATTATCTGTTATGTTTAACACAAAACTAATAAAGAAGATAAATGCTTTAAAAAGTACTTCTTACTTCATTCATTATGATAATTGCCAAGCTTTCAAAAATACCTAAACATGAAATTGCATAGTTAAGTTAAGCCTTTCAAAGGAAAAAAGGGTATGTGTGGGCAGAACAGAAAAAAAGCAGGGAACTATTTACTACTTGGAGAAAATAACAAAGACACTTGAGAACAAATAGCATTATAGCTGACGACAAGTTTTTTCTTCCCACAGAATCAAGTGGTCCAATAGTAAACAACTAATGAAATACACAAATGACATACAAGTACTACTCATGAGCTATATGTATTAATTACAATGGAAGTATCTCAAAACAATCAGAATATCAGTTTTCAGTTGCTGTTCTGATTTTATTTCCTTCCTCCACTCTTGTAAGAAAACACAGAACAAGTTGCCTTCTTTATACTATATTCCCTGAAGTCTATTATCTGTGAGACCCAAGGGTAAAAATTTTCTAAACAAATTCCAATTATATACACAGGGATGATTCTTCCCACATCAAATGGAAAACTGATTTATTTCTCTTAATATAAGTGCCTCCATGTTCTTGTAGAGCTACTGGATCAGGAAAGAAGCACAGAGGGAAATGTACTTTAAAAGCATAGCAGTTAATTCACTATTTTGGATTATGCAAATACTTGGGATTAAGTCTAGAACAAAAGCAGTTGTGATAAACTGAGAAGTAGAAAGATAGACTGAATTACTTACTATCCCTCTCTCTGGCCAAAGTAGTCTTTAACTGCCAGAATACTGAGTTCCTAAAACATTAAACTAAAGTACTTTTAGATGAAAAGAGAAACGCATCCTCCAACTTCCTCACAGATGGTTATAGAAATAATTTACTTTTAACTTAATACCTGCACAATTATACCTCAGGATGCAATTCCAAATCTCAATGGAAAAGAAAAAAGATTTCTGGACTCCACACCCCATGTGCAACAAGTCTCTGTTCAAACCATGCCACCTATATTCTACTCTGCCATCCTGCACAAAAACACAGGGGCAATCTTGAGGCTAAAGTTTCATTCCACTAGTCATGCATTGTTCTCACTTGAATAAACTGTGAAAATTGTAGAGCTAGTTGGATTTTACACATCAACTCCCACTCAGGATTCTGTAATACAACTGTGCACTGCTTTTCCTAATAATTCCTGAGGCATAATTTCCCTTTCTCTACCGGCTTATTCAAAGACGTTGAGACTCTTGACTTCAGAAATCACGGTTCAGGATGTTTTGCTGCCTTAAGCAAATCTGAATACAGGATTCTCAAACCAGATGAAGTTTTGATCTACGTATGAACACTATGTATGAATAGTTGACATTCAACCCCCATTAATTTATGAAAAGATCTGCAGTGTTAGTAGAACGTGAAAATTAGAAGTCTTTTCGCTCAGATATACCAGGCTGACTAACTTAGAAAGTTTCTGTAACATAATGTATGCTGCAAAGAAAAAAAATAGGAAGAGTTCAATTCCGTAGGTTTTTCACACAGCTTACCAACTTACCTGTTTAGAAATTAACGTAGAATCTCTTTCCTTTGAATGTACAGATATGTTGCAGTCATTTAGAAAATGAAGTGCTTCATCCAACTCCCTTAATAGTCTTCCATACAATCCACTTTTGTCAGTATATGGTCCACAGTCTACAACAATCTCACATGGCTGAGAAGTATATCTTAATTGAGGGCAAAGATCAGGTTATTTCAGCCTGTTAAAGTTATATGGCAAATAGCAAGGGCAGTATGAAGCATAGTCAAGTACATTTCTATCCCTACCATGAACGATTACAAAGTTAAATATATATTTAAAAAAAGAAAAAGCAAAAATCTCCATATATACCAAATGGATTCATTCTAAAAATACTAATCTGTCTAATATATTTCCTAAAAATGAGGTTAGTATCACTACCTATATTTCAAATATTGGAATATCTAAGCCAAAGCAAACTGAATCTTCTTGACCACAACTTTCACTTTAGCTTTTCCTCTTTTTATATGCCAAACAAGTAAAACAGTTGTGATGTAAGTTCTGTTAATTTCTTCAACAACATAAAATCTCTGAATATTAGGGTCAAGTAGACTTTTCACTTAACTTTAAGATGTACTTCAACACTGGTTACTCAAAAAGCAATTTTATATGTTCACTCTTCTATCCTCACCTCACATGGAACTAATGGCATCACATACACACAACCTTTGCTAAGATTTAAAATAACAAATATTTATAGCATTTTGTTTAGTAAGGAACAAACAAGGCAGTCAATTAAATAGCCGTAACTGCATAACAACATACCTATCTAAGACCACCAAATCAGTTGCAGTTTCAGCATTGCTCTTTAGTATTTTCTCCAGTTTCTTTATCTTCTCTTCTAGCTCAGCAGGATCACACTTCCCATTTAAAATGGAAGCAGTTAATCCCAAGATTCGAGGGCAAGATGGGTAATCCTCACAGATCTGTGAAGCAAATCAGAATGAAGTACCTTCAAACAGTTGTTCCTACCATTCTGAAAGCCTAGTATCAAACTAGCAGACAAAGTTTCTAAGCTTAGTTGAAAACTAGTATTGAATAGTATGTACTGGAAAGGGAATCAAATGTTCAGTAAATGCTTTCGTCTATTGCCTGGAAGTAAACCTACAGAACTGAAGAACATTTAATAGCAACCATGTTTCAAGATAAATATTTCTATCTAGTAAATATTTAAAGTAATAAACAATTAGTAATACACAAGATAGCTTTGTCATACTTACAATAAAACACAATCATAATACTTACACACCGTGAAAAAACTAAAGTCATACCAAAAAAATAAGAGCGCGCAAGATCTGGTTAAACCTGAAGAGAGATCTGGAAAGACATCTAACAAATAACTCATGAAGCTAACAATATGCCTTCAAAAGCCCTAAAAACATTTTTAGAAATCAGTATTTTAAGAAATACAGAAACCGGTTAATAGTTCTTATCTCAAAACATTTTTAAAAATATTTTTGAAAATTCCCTTAATTCACTAAGTTCAGGTTAATGCCAGATTTTTCTTTAATCACTACAAAGTAAATACACTGCTTTTCTGTAATATCTTATAATATGAATTAAGTATTAATTCATTACAGTAAATCCAGCCCGAAGGCATGCTAAACCATGATTCCATTGATCATATTCTTCAATAGCAAAAACTGACTCATTTCCTACTTGTTCAACCCTTCCAGTCTTACCCATGCTCTGCAACCAAGTATTAAAACGTTCACATAGTACAAACTAACCTTCATAATTTCACGGTACGGATGGTCCTGGATTGCAAGATGGCACTCATCAAACACCAGTAGATTAATATTTGACAGGGATAAATATTCATTTCTCAAAACAGTCAAAGCAACATGACATGTCATAACCAGAACCTAAGTTAAAAAAAAAAAAAGCATCAATATAAAAAGAGTACAAATTGTCTTTAGCCACAGTAAAATAAAAAAGCTTTTCTGTATGTCATACTTGATAGTATTGACAGTATTAGCAAATATTAACTCCATCTACTCATCTGTCTAAGTTCTCTAGATATACTCCATTGGCCATTACTATATGTTTTGCTAAAAGTAAAATAAAAACAGAAAAATGGTCCAAGAACCACAGAACTATAGCTTACTCAAAAAGGCAGAAATAAAAAGCATGCCAAGGAATGACATTTTTAGTGACATTTAAAGAACAATATGTACACTAAAAATTTCTTCAGCAGTTATCAACTTTGACCACAAGACAGGGAGACTTGAAAAAAAAGGATTAAAAGGACAGCTTTTTACAACAACCTGAGTACCTCCTACACATGCTTTGCCTCAAAATTAATATACACATATTACTAACATGCTGAATTTGTTAAAGAGTTTATGTATAACTGAAAATTACCAGTTCTCATCTGGTCTAACTGTAGACTCTGTTTGCATTTATACTTAATACATTACCTGATGCTTAGAGAATTCCTGACTCCATTTCTCTTTTGTCCATGATTCAGTCACCTCTAAACTTGAATACTCTCCCACTTTAAGATCTGAATGTGTCCTGACAGCTGATACTTGCTGAGCAACTTGATTTGCTTAAAAATAAAAACAGACAAAAATCCTCAATCTCATGAAGGTGTTTTCACACATTAATTTTCAAGATGTTTGCCCTATTACTAGCACCATGCTTTACAGTAATCTTCAGATTAGGCTAATGTTAAGCTGGGGTACATGGCAACCTACCTCCATATAAAACTATAGGAAATAAACTGCTAACTACACAGCAATTCTGATTTAATGCTTTTACTTTAAATCAGGAAATTAAAGATACCAGAGATAAAGAGGTTGTATTGAGTGTACAATCAGCAAAATGTTAAAGGTGTCACATTCTTTGATTAGTTTATTATCCCTGCTGTTAAGTGCTTCAGCCAAAACTTTCTTCCAAAATTTGCTTTCACACAACTTCTATTAAAGAGTTGTCCCATGACAACAGAACTAGCATATTCAGGAACTTTGTATATTTTTCCTCTTACCTGAGTTGACCAAGAACACAGTTCTTTTTCCATTTTTGTTGAAATCCCCCCTGATCTGATAGGACAGCTCTTTAGTGAGTAGTACTGCAATAAAAGTCTTCCCTGAGCCAGTGTTTAAACAGACTATTGTATTATGATCCAAAGCTGCTTCAAGCAGTTCAACCTAGGTTTAAAAACAACAACGCCCTTATTTGCAGCAAAGTGGATAAAATGTTAACAAAAATAACAATACAAGTGGTAAACAAACTACAGACAGGTCAATATGACGTGTAGAACTCTATCCAATGCCAAAGAATCAACACTATTCTTTAATAACAAAGGTACAGACACTCACCCAAAAAATATTAATGCACACTATACAGCTTAGCTTCTAAAACTAAATTCCTCCTCAAAACTATTTGAAGTTACATTTGAAGCTAGAGCTTTTCAGTCTAATTCTATGTATTAGTTCAGCCAAATATGCAAGTACATTAGTTCAAGGTGATACAAACTTTTCAGTAATATTAACCAAATTCTAGCTTTCAGGTATCTCTGCAGGGCACACAGAGAACTGAAATTCCCGAACTCAGGAATAGCTTCTGTAACAAAACGAAAATCAGAGTGCCCTGACAGAATTTCTGACATTACTAAAATGCTTTGACCATTGTGCATATCAAAATCAAGTCTGGAGATGTGACTGTAAATGTATAATCCAGTTGCACAATGTCAAGATTAGGGTATTTATCCCTAATAACACTATGCAGAGAGCAAGATAATATTCAGCTTAAAATTTTGATTCATAAAAGCAAATTGAGAAGGGAGAATAGGAATTATCAGAAAAGCAGAACACATCCTAGCTAGTGAAAAAAGGGACAACTAGGTCCAAACAGGTGGAGCTGTAAGAAATACATGCCTGGACTATGTACAACTGTAGACTTTTTCCATCTGCTCAGTTCTTTTTTTCTATTAAATTCATAGATTTATTTTCACTAATACAGTAATGTTATTAAAAAAAGTATTATCACTAGTACCTGATATTTTCTTGGCGTGTAAATGTTATCATGAATTGCTTCTTGTTGCCATGGTAGTCCAAAAAATGGACCCATTGGGGAGGAAGCAGGGGTCATGAGCTGCAGTCCCGCCATGCTGAGGGATTGCAAAGCAGGGCTTTTCATTCATTCATCCAGTGTTTCTGTCATCGCATTTTTGTTCCAGCACAGCCTACTATGGAAGAACGCAAAACAGTATTAGATACAGTTATAATATAAAGGAAAAAATAAACAAAAGAATCTAAGGATACATAATTCTACTTTATTTTTACTTCCAGTAAGAGCTACGATCTCATTACTTTCAGCAGAACACTTCAATTTTGCACTTCAAGACACTTTCCCACTTCAAGAGGTGTATTTAACAAAGTAACAAAAAAAAAAATCTGCTTTATAGGCAAAGCTGACTCTAGGCACTTGGACACTTCAGGATAAAGTTTCCTTTGCATTCTAACAAACCCCCTTTTAAAGTTTATTGAATAACAAAAATATAAAGCTGCTTTAACTTTACTTCAGGAAAGAAAAAAGAGATTTTCAAGATCAGAGGTAACAAGCAAATCTACCACGTTTTGCATTTTCAAGTAAGTTCCTATAACCAAAGATTTACATACACATAAACGCACAGAACAGGGACTTCGTTCTAACCAAAAGGAAAAAGAACAGGAGCTTCATAAGAACACACTGTCAATTAAACAGATAACTTCATCAGAATTGGCAGAAGAATAAGCAGAAATTTTATAAATAATTACAGATGATGATGATAAGAGCTAATGGAAAATAGGTCCCTTGCCATATAAACCACCGGTTTCCAGAAAGGTACTCTAAGTAACAATTTGATGACAATTATATACTAGAAAACAGCTTCCTATGGAGGTCTAGTAAGTGCTCATCACTTTAGAGCTATTTTAGAAATGCTTGGTATTTTTCAGGAATTATCAAGCTATAACCATTTTTTTTCCCTATAGAACTGAATGAATTATAACCTTATTGTACAGAGATGTTTCTACTGTTCTATACTATTGGAAAATTAAGTTTTGCAATTGTGCACTGGGAAAGAATTTTGAGACAAGTATGATAAGGTATATAATAGAAACTATTGAACAGCGAATGTTATAAGAGAACTGCTTACCAAGTAGGAAGCAGTTGAAGTAAAAAGGGAAAAAGTATTCATTTCTCTCTGAATCAAGATGAAGTTCTCTTTGATTTATGAGAACAATTAATATAACACCGTGGCCCTTCCTTGTATATTCACATTTCCAAGTTAAATTTTACAATTTGAACCACCTTTAAACACTGATGTATATGTTAATTTAACTAACATTAAATAACTATAAGCAGCTCTCAGTTTTCCACTTCAAATATATTTTGTCTCTTGCTTGAGACAAAGAAAAAGCATTACATAGAATTACACAATCACTCCCCTTGGACATTAGTCAGAGTAAAAAGCTTTTGTTTTTTTTTTTTTCCTTCCCTTCTTTCCCCAAAAGGGTGGAAGACTATTCAAGGACATTATGGTTTAGTTGAAGTAACACTGTTCCATTCCACTATAAGGACCTATCACTGTTTTGAAAACAAACATTCAGAAAAATACTAAGTGAAAGAGGGTAAACTTCACCTTTGGCTCAGCAATCAACACTCTTCCTTCTCTATTAAAAAAAATTCTTCACCAAAAGGAGTGCATTAATATTGCAGGAATATAGTCTTATATTTTGATTTGAGCCACAGAGAAACTGTCAGGATGAGAAGATAGCAAAAAGAAGAAATATATCCAGAAGTTTAGGAAAAAGCATGTAGTTTTTAAAGGATGTACTAAAGAATGCTTTTGAGATTCCAGCCGATTTCTCCAGTTACTTTTGGACGAACCTCCAAACTCATGCAAATTTTACAAGTACTTCTCATTTACTTTCTCAATTCTGCAACTTAAGTTATTGTTTCAGTCTGAGTTCCTTTAGATTTTTTAAATCAAAAGAAAAAAAAAGACAGATATTGCTTTGTTTAGTTGCAAAAACAGAACAACATAGGCTACTCACATCATAAAATCAGAAATACATCATTTTTCATTTCAGATATAATGTAAGAGTCCTGGAGATTCTAAAATTGCTTTTATACATTTCAAACTGCATACAAGAACACACAGGTTCTGTTCTAACAATCAGACTAGTAACTCCACACGGTGTTTAAATCCAGCCAGACCAGAAAATGTTTTGGTTGATTCCCCATTTGGAACAAGCAGCTCTATGGCTGTTCTTTCACTGAAGTTTCCATAGCACTATGTCAAGTAAGACAAGTAGTAAAAAAAAAAAAACAGTGCATGTGCTATATACAGTTGTGTGTAGTAAAGGTGGTAATTCTTAACATTCTAAGTGTTTGCACATCATATGTACTCACGTTAATCATTAGGTAATTATACATTTATATCGGTCACACATGAAGGACTGCCTTCATTTTCAGCCACTGATAGAAAGCACCTGGGCACTAACAAAGCTTTTGTATGAACAGACAGCTTAAGTGCATGACAATCAGAGAGACTATTGAAAGTTTCTCTCCTTCACACAAGGTAATAGACAAGGCTCTGCTCTAATATCTCTAGCTTCTTTATAATCAAATCAGTACCATGCCATTTGGAAACACACAAATTCCTTTGGAGAACACAGGAGTCTTCATCGTGACTACAACATTTCACTGAAATTGCCTCGGAACTTTTCCTACTTGTATACAGCAATTCATGTGGAAGGATAGTTTTGGGTTTTTTTGTTTGTTTGTTTTTAAAGGAAACCTGGTCACAGCCATTATAGTTGCTCAAGTCCAGGATAGACCAGGTAAGGTATAATGCGTATTATATTTCTAAGGGTAACTACCCAATCATTCTTATATTTACTCCCAGTCACATCAATTTTATAGAGCATTTTGGATCAGCAGTGCCTTTTCTGTTATTCCACTTAAGTCTTTCTTTTCAAACCATAAACACAACTTCATGAACAAACACAAGCTCACTCTGAGACCATCTCCCTCACAACCAAACACATGACCTAACATTCACAAAGCTTACATTCTTTTCTACATATGACTCCATGACAATGCTAGTAGGCTTAGCTACCTTACTGTAAGGAGCACAGAGATTCACACTTACACACAGGTTCAGCTTGCTCTGGAAGAGCCTGTGAAACATCACACACACTAAGCCACAGATTTGTTTTCTGTTCATCTTCATGAAAGGCCTGCCATCAAGTACGGTCATCTCATAGCATCTCATAGAGTTAAAAAGAAGTAGTATACTCAAAGAAAATTTTGCTTTTTTTTTTTTTTTTTTTTTAAGTGTGAAGGAATAAACTTAGTAACTTGAAAAATAATGAGAAATAAAACAGCACTCTGTAGGGCAGTAAGACTATTACTAACTGTGGAACAAGCTGACAAAAAAAACAATGGGATTTAGCTCTCATGGATTGCATGATTAATTAGCAAAACAACACAATGAGACTCTCATAAAGCAGAGGACAGTTGAAAGAGCTTAGATTCCCTGTCCATGTATAATGACCGAGGTAAGAAGTCCACCTACCTAAACTTTCAATGCTACTTCCTGCTGTGCTAAGGAGTTCCTTAGTCCTGGCCTTCATTTGTATTATTTCTATTGTAAGTATATAAGACTCAACGATATCAACGTCAACATTATTATGGAAATAAGCCACAGTAATGAAGTAATTATATATTTTAAGTCTCTATTTCAATTGCAAGGAAAAATATCAAGTTCTGCAACAAAGGAAAAGCAGTGCAAGACCATCTAGAAATAAAAAGGGTGGAAAAATCATCTACTTGAAGAACAGGTTTTAAATTGGAAACAGTTGAGATGCAAGTGCATACCTTCAGAATTTGTGGACAGAAGTTAACTGAACCCTGTAACTAGCTAAGTGGGAAGCAGAAAAAAAAGTAGTCCTGCTCTGCCAGTGTGAATAACAAAGATGTCTGCTATGATGTTTCACCTTTATCCACTGTGTCATTTTGGATATTGATAGAAAATGAAAACTTGCTGAAGACAAATTTGGAAGGAAAGATATAAGAGACAGAAGTCCTGCTTCCTGTGGCCCTACTGAGAAACGAGAAAGGGGACAAAGCAGCACAGCACCAGGCCTAATCTGTTCTAATAAAATAACTCTAAGTAGTTCAAATTGTGGCCACTGACTTCAAAAGTTTAGCAGCAAAATCCACAACTTGATGACCTTTCTTTAATGCCTGTTCATGTCAACACACATTGAACTGCAAGCTTCAGTTAAACCTAAAGTCTTATTCTATCATTTAAAGACCTATATTTCAAATAGGTACAAGTTTGGGAATTAAAATTTAATAGAAGCTTCTTTCAGACTAGAACAATTCTGGAAGAGTGGTACAGGTTTTTCAGCCACAGGACCATATCTAAGTTAAAATAGTCCCTTGGTGCACAAAAAAAAATGTCAGGTTTTACTGCACTGAGGAACGTGAGCCAAACCAAGTAGGGCACTCACCTGAAATAGGACATCCTGGATATAACCCTGCTCCAAGGGCTGTTACAAACTTTTACTTAATGACACTCTAATTTAGCAGAGAAGAGACTAGAGTTCTTGGAACACATCTTTAGGAGTATATTTTCCTAAGTTTCTGAAGAATATAATTTTGCTCAGACATCTAAACTAAGAAAATACCATCAAACAATAGGTATTAAAAAGGATGGATCAACTTATTTTTACATCATGCTACCTTTAACATATTTTAATGCATGCAGTGCAGCTGCACAGAACTCCGTTATCCTTCAAATACCTTCAGCAGACACATTGCCTAACATGTTGTGTTGTCCTACAACATTCTTTGAAAACAAATAAATTCAGATCTATGCTCTTTCAAGTGCTAACAGAATGCATAAATACTTAGAAAGCTTAACTGCAAGAATTCCTCCAAGAACCAGCTTCTCTAGTTTCCCTAGCACAACCAGTTAACTGTGAATATTCATCTTCAATTAGATGCTATTTGTTGTAATTTTTTAAATAACCTAACAGTATAACCAGAGTGTTGGTCTTTAAAAGCACAAGGTAGAGAAGTGTTGCTTTTTGTTGTTCAGAAAAGTTTCATCAGAGAGCTTACTAAGATCAGGATTACACTGAGGCTCTATGATTCTATATTAGAAGGAACTGCTTCTGAAGCATTTCTCCTTGCAATACAGTACAGTTAACAGCTGGAATGCTTGCCAGACTTCTCCTAAATTTCTGGCAGTAGAATAGAAATGAAGTATAACATGACACTTAGATTCAGACAAATGCACAACCCCTAAAGTCCTTCAAGTGTTCCGTCACAGGTATGGACAAAGTTGGCTTTGAAGTGAATGCCTAATAAACAGTTTCTGTTGCTGCTGACAGAGCTAACTGCATGAGCAGGACACTGTTCATATCAAAATTGTGCTGCTGTACATTGCAAATAACCTTTAAAACAAAAGAATTATACTTCTATTTATCAGCATAGTATGCTTGGGATGTAAGCTATTTGCCAGTGCAGAAATAAAATGAGAAAATGAAAAAACATGTTTTCTAGCACATCTATACTCACATCAGTACACAAGGCATTCAGAATAAATGAATGGAAGATGCTCATCCTTTGTCAAATACAAACATACAGATAGTGGAACAAACTATTTAATCTTTTATAAAGACATGTATAAAGCGCAGTACAGCAGGTCTAACTATGCAGGTGCTGAACTGCTGAGATGCTAATTCCTTCAATTTCAGCCCCTTATCACAGAGTGCAACAGAAAAAAACTAAGTAAGTGATATCTAAAATGCAAGGGAAGGAGAGGACCGATAGAACTGGATACATGTCTGTCCTCACTTTGACAAAGCTCTCAATTTTTACTGCACACAATTTTATCAGGCAGCCCCTTCCCTGTTTTTGCTTGACTCATAATTCGAACTGAAGTATATTTCTGAGAGTAAGACTGCAACAACTGACCTGCCATTCGCTTCAAGACAATCATTTATTATCTCCTATCTAAAACAAATTCAATTCTAATTGTAATGCTACAAATCTTCCTTCTTCCCACTTTTTAAAAATGATTTTATTTCATCTACAAAACTACATTTCACTGCAAAATCCACAAGAAATATTTAAACGCAACATTCACTTTTTAGAAATGTCAAAAAAATGAACACATTTATATTCAGTTTCACAAGAAATATCAAGGCATGCATTTCACAACAAACACATTTTTTCTTTATGCCACTGCTTTATCTAACCATCCACAGATAAAATAAATTAGCTATTTTCATTATTCTTATTCTTTCCAAAGAAATTCAGGGTAAATTTCTACAGTCTCACTTTATGGTGACTTGGTAGTCCTGAAGGAGTTTTATGCATCAGATAGAATATAGCAAAATGATACATAAAAATCTGTTTCTCCCATACTACAAAGCATGCACTTACCGTTTTAATCTCTGCAGCCTCTGTGCTTATGCTTTCCAAACTGCATTTTGACATCATGATATCAGCTTGTAGGTTAATCACATGATTTGCAAGCTTCGGCTCTGAAAAGCAAGAAGAAAAAAGACATCTGAACTATAAAAATTATTTTAAAAGGAAACTACGATATTAAGGTTAATTGTGGAAATTCACTTGCTTATAAATACTATATGGCATGTCAATACCACACTATAACTGGCTGAGAGAAAATGAAATATAAATCCTCTCTGAACACATATTATTTTAATTTAGTAATAGAAACAAAACTACAAGCAATTTAAAAGCTAATTTTTGATAGATTAAATATGCAAGGAATTAATGCATCCCTAATCCTGTTCATATCAATAATTGGTTCATATGAGAAATGCACTAGTAATGTTTTATAATATTTTCCAGATAAACAATGATTTTTCCGTGCACTATTTGTTTTAGAGTTAGAGTGGAATTCAGATTGCTTTTAATGTTTTCTAATGTATCACACTTTCAAGTCATAACACAGTAAACTGATCAAAAAGAAAAAACATTACTTTCTAAGCGCATCAGCATATGTATATTTTATTAGTAGTAATATTAGCATGCAATTCATATTAATCCCTATAAAAATACATTTAACTATTCACATAAATCTAGCAGTCATTCAAGACAATTTCATGTTAACATCTTTACAGAACTACGACAAAAACACAAATGTTGTAGATCTACAAAAGATCTACAGTATTCTCAAAGCTTGAAAGCATAAAATTAACATGATATATTCATCTCAAGTATTAGTTTTGTTATATCTAAAAAGATTTGAAGTCATTTTTTCTTTTAAATCAATACTGAAAACTTAAATGCAAAATTAATCTTGACAAAAATTTCTTCTCCGATCAATTCCATAAAGTTAATAAGAAGGACACTCCCAAGATTACTTCAGTATGTTCATTTTTACCTCAAATACTGATGCTGAGTTTTTCCAGAGTTTCCAAGCCTGTAATTTTGTTTCACCCTAGGTAACCTAGAAGGCAATATAGAAAGAGAGTATTTTAACATGAACTGCCATAAAAATCAATTGTGCCATGTGGTAGTCTGCTTTCTTGCATTTTAATATTTAGCTCTGTAGCAACAGCACATGGTCCTTCAAAATCTAATTATCATCTGTCCTTTTTTGGCTGGGGATACAGACAGTCAGCATCTGAAAGCCATAAGTGCTCCGGAGATATTTGCATATTTTCTGTTTTATCTGCTAAAGTAATTGCCAACTGAGTACAACTAGAATTACAATTTTCCTCCCCTGTGCTCCCTCCACACAGCTTTCACCTAATGCTGAGATGAAGTCTTAAAGAAACTTACCATCCAATACATAGCCAAAAGAATGGACTTAGTTTGAAAGAGCAAAATAAACTGTTTTTGCTTCAATTTACAACAAAAATATGTGGGAACCGCAATGCAGAAAATCTGGTGAGTACTGTGGTAATGTACAAAATAGACCTACTCAAATCTTACTCCCAGAGCTACTTTTCAAAGTCACGTTTGCAATGCACACACGCACCCTTTTTCTGCACAAACACAGAAAATTACCAGTAAGGTGCAGTGAGTTGAACAAATTTGTAAGGATACATTCCTGTTACGTACAGGTTAATAGTTTATCTATCAGCTCTACAGCATAAACCAGAAAGCAGCCTAACAATTGAAAGCCTTCCCTTTTGAAGTGGAGGTGCAGAAATATACCACACTCCGTATTACCTCTTTCAGCTTCTCTTGCTATTACAGCATCTAGTTACCCTACCGTGTAACAGACACAAACAGAAAAAAAAAGGCTCAATTACTTGTCAAGAAAGCTTGTCAACACGTATTGCCTCACGCAGCAAATACACTTTATTCCATAATCGTAAGCAGAAAATGGTAAGCAGAAAGCAAACAAATCGGTAGGTTCAGATTTGGGAGAACCAAAAGGAGAATGTAATTCCCCACCAACCCCAACAATTTCCTTTGGCACATCAAAGCTGTAACACACTAGTCGGCAGCCTCAATCGATCCGCAGACATGAATTACAGTAGCCCTTTTAACGCCGAAGCTAACATATAACCAGACAGGCCACATTCCTGAGATGCAGTCAAGTTCTCCTACAAAACAGCAGCTCCCTCCATTAGCATCTCAATGGCGCTGGTGCCCGCGCCCAGACAAAGCCCGGTGCGCGGAGGCAGCAGCCCTGTCTGCAGCTCCAGGGCTCCCAGCCCCACCGAGGAAACGCTTTGGGCTTACCAGAGATTTTTCATAAACATCAGTGTCTGATCTGGTAATACTTTACAAAAAAATTAAATCACATAAATGTTTTATATGCAGATAGAGAAATATAGAGAGGTGTCAATCATAAAACTGACAAGAGGTACAATATTTTACTCTACAGTGACTAAAGATCCTGTTTAAAAAAGCAGAGAGACTTTTTTAAAGTGACTCTGACATTACTAAGCACAGAAGCCACTCCAGAAATGAAAATCAACAATAACATGTCTTTTTTTTTAAAGTTTCCTATTAAGAGCTTAATGTTCACATATTTTATATAATGATGGAAGGGGAGAGTTCCAAGCATAGTATTTGGATTGTCCAACTTGTCACACTGCAAAAGCCTTAAATACTCAATGAACAAAGCAGCTCTGTTCAAACAAACAAATAAAAAACCCAACAGTCAAGTGCTATAAGGACCCCAAGAGAAGCAAACAAGGACAAAGTGACTTCTGCAGGTCTGAGTGCCCGGCAATCTGCCAGTAACCAACAGGTACCCCTGCAGGCCTCAGACAAGATCTTTGAGTACCGTGGCTGTTTGCTATTTTGACATCTGATAATACCAAAAAATAAGTATACAAATATATCAGAAAGTATACAAAAGAATATATCAACAGTTTTGATTTTTATTTTCTTCTTACCGTCATTCTGTAATTTGGTGTTAGGAAATCAGGTTAATGCAATAGCTAACCACTGATGTTAAGGAAAACAACATGACTGCCAGGAAGAAGTGGGAATGAAGTTGACAGCAGTAGCACATGTTCAACCTGTTACTTGGCTTCAGATTACCAAAGTTTTCTCCATCATTTATATTTTAAAATTAAATGATGACTATTCTCCCCATTCTAATAATGATGTTAATACTTAATTAAACTATTACTCACAAATTGCTAAAAGACTGAAAATGAACTCCAATTTTGCAAGAAGATCTATCCAATTGGACTTTGAACCCACAAAAGTGATGGAGCTAATAATCTTCAAGCAAACAGAAATAAATTTTAGTGCAAATCGAAGTCCTGCAATATCAGAGTATACAAGGTAAAAACAGCCTTTGTGGCTGCGGTTAGGAGAAAGTCCTTCTGTGCCACCATCCTGCCTCTCCCTAATTACAGCTGCTTCAGGATTTTCAAAAGGGCTAATTACAAAATGAGACTCACTCTTCTCTTCCATGTGTTATTCCAGCAAGCTTATTCCTAGTATTTTTCTTCAGTTATCCTGTGCTACAAACAATGAAATAAGTTTGTACTGTGGTTCCTAACTTCATACTACCTCAAACTCACTCCAAAACAGAATACTCTCAACTTGACAAACCAAAGTCTTCTCCATGGAAGTCAGAGGAAAAAAAAAATATCAAGGACATGTCTTTAAATAAAGTCAACTAAAAGCCATGAACATTTAATAGATTTAGCAATTAAAATGAAATTATTCGATGCAATACTTAATTTGTTTTTTTTTTTCCCAAGCTACTATTTGAAAATAAACCCACAGTTAAGCTTACAGACCCTAATTTATGTAGTTACCTGCATAATTACTGCATCTGTATTACCAGAAAGGGTAGCTGAATATATTGATGATTTATTTTTTTTTTTTTTAATCACTTGATCCTTTGATTGGGCAACAAACTGTTTTCTTGTAATTATTTAGTTTATCTAAAGGTCAACTTTAAGAACGGAAGGCAATTAAGCAGACATTAGGACAGGGATTTCTCCTTTCCCCCATCCAGAGGGGAACTGTGAGCTAAGTACAGTTCCAAAGTACCGATTGATTATTCTTGCTTATGGTAAATAAAAGCAGCAGCTGCCCTCTGAATATAACCCCATGTGGGGCTTTCAAGCTTGTTATTTGCATCAACATAAACCCTTCCTCTCCATGTGGCAAGCCAAACTCCCACAAACAGAGGTGTTCAACAGTCCTCTGTTCTCCCTGTCAGAGAATCCAAAGCTAGAGTCCTATGATACAAGAGATCTTCTCTAAAGGCATTAGTTCTGTAAAGTAGCATCTAGTAGTATCTATGGATATCTGGGTTTTACATCATCCTCTAGGATTTTTACCAGTCTAAAATGAGAGTTCAAGTCTCCTAATGTTGGCCATGCTATTAATTCATCTATCACTCAGTGCACACACAGCAGGATTACTTTAAAAAAGAAAACAACAAAACTAATTATTATTTGTAGTGTAAATCAACTCATTCTAATACCTAATGTAACACTTGAAATATATAAGTCTTATATACTGATTAGCACATTACTTAATTACATTTTGGACTTGGCCATTTTTAGTCTGATTTCCTAAAAATAAAGGCTTCTCTCTTATCACTTGCATGTCTGTAAGTACTCCTTCCTGGCTGCAAACTTGCAGCCACAGTGCTGGAATTTTCTTTTATATGGAGGTGGGAGAGAAGCAATATTTTAAGTCCATAAAAATATGTAATATAAAGAGCACCTACTAACGCTCCCAAATTCAAAAGACATTCAAAGTTTCAGATGCCAGGGAACCCAAGCTCCAGTCAGACATCTATATGCCCAATTTCTTTATTTGTTTGGATTAAACAGCCTATGTAATAACATTTAAAGGAGTAGATGAAAATTCCCTGCGGAATCCTAGCAGGGTTTCAAGGGCTCTCACAAAAAGTAAGAACTGAGTTTTTCATGTTAAAGTCGTGTCTGTTCATAAAAAAAAATCTGAATTAATTCCAAAATGGAAAAAAAAATCATTCAAAAAGGAAATACTACATATTTTAACCTACACAGCTGGCTGACTGAGTTACTGTGCACAGCACCAGAAAATAAAGGCCTTTATATTGAGCCATGTCTTGCCTGAAGAGCTGAGAATCATCTGGGTTAGCAATACTAATCTGATTAGTAAGAATCAAATCAACAAGTGCAGTGTGTTTGGCAGCATTAATGGAATTAACACAAGAAAACTTGCCACAGTATGAAGCACTTCACAAAGAAAATTCAAAATATCTGGGAATCTATGAGAATTAAGATAACTTAGCTTAATAACAGTTACTAAATGCTTTCTATCTGAGTCAGGTTGAAAAGAACTATAACTGTTTTGAAGGCAGAGACTTTAATACCCCTCTTAAGTACCAGGCTACTGCCTAGAAACAGACACTTAGATGACACATACCTAGATGGGTACAATGAACATCTCACTAAAAGATGCACCATATTATAGGCACTGCTATTCCTTCTATATAAACACATGCATTTAAAAGTAGAACTTGAGAATTCTTTTACATTACTTAAATTAAGATTGTAAGACTTAAGCAAGTTGTAATGAATTAGTGATTATTAGCTATTTTAATGCATCAATCTTCACTTTTCAATGCTGTTCAGTAAAGTAGAAAAATCTGTATATTGCCTAGTGTTCAGAGCTAGTCAGAATTCAAAATTACATTTTACCATTTTAAAGGTGAAAGTTTCAAACAGTGTTTTCACAACACAGGTTCTTTCTTGCACTGCTGGCTTTCAAATAACTGGCACCAATATAATGAAAGTGATTCAGATATCTGAAAGAATTTGGGGGAAAAGGTGGCAACATGAGAGCTAACATCCATATCGAAGTTAAAGTGACAAGATACATATAAGAGCAAATTACATTTGTCTTGCATATTTTTAGTCCTGAACCAGAGGCAATGAAAATCAGAATGGTTTGCAAATATTTGAGGAGCTAATCTTGTGTTCTATAACTTCAGGTTTCCAATGTAGGAAACAAACACCTTTGTCT